CGGGTTCGATCCTCAGCACCACATACCAACAAAGATGTTGTGTCCGCCGAGCACTAAAAAATAAATATTAAAAATTCTCTCTCTCTCTCTCTCTCTCCTCTCTCACTCTCTCTTAAAAAAAAATAAATATCTTATATGATCATAGTGTCATTATTATACCTTAGAAAATAATAACTGCATATTATCAAATAATATAGTTCATATTCATATTTTCCCAATTGTGTCAAAGATGTCTCCCATATTGGTTTTTTTTTTTGTTGTTGTTGTTTGTTTGTTTGGTTCCAGGGATTGAACTGGGGGCACTCAACTACTGAGCCACATCCCCAGTCCTATTTTGTATTTTATTTAGAGACAGGGTCTCAGTGAGTTGCTTAGCGCCTTACAATTGCTGAGGCTGGCTTTGAACTTGAGATCCTTCTATCTCAGCCTCCTGAGCCACTGGGATTACAGGCATGTGTCACCATGCCTGGCCCATATATATATATATATATATATATATATTTTTTTTTTTTTAAGTCTTTTTGTTATTGTAGATGGACAGCATGCCTTTATTTTTTTTATTTTTATGTGGCGCTAATGATTGAATCTAGTGCCTTACGTGTGCTAGGCAAGTGCTCTGTCGCTGAGCCTACAGCCCCAACCCTCTACCATATTGTGTTTATTTTTAGAATTAAAACATTTTGTTTTGTCATAAGAAGCTCTATGAACTGGGTTAATGAAAAGTAATACTTAAAGACATGACAGAAGATTGTACAAGTATGAACATTACAGTATTAGGGAAAATGAGTAGGGTTTCATACAATTGACAGAGGTGAAGAAGCCAGTGTTGTTGAATTAGTACTTAATTCTTTAGAATATGCATGCCCTGACAATACAGAATACCTTGATTAATGTTTACCATTTGTTTTATCTTCCTAGTACAGTGGAAAAAATGTGGCATTTTTACTTCATATTGGTTGTACATGGGGGATTGTTAACACCCAAGTGATAACAATCAATTAAAATATTGTTTAATCCTGTAAGACTGTTATAGCATTTTAAATAACCTGCTTACTTTCCAGAATACTTACAGGTAATTTCACATTAGTGAAATTTAATTTCACATTAGAGCAAATTTGAAGCCCACCTGAAAGAATAAAGGAAGTTCAGTAGCCATAAAGCTAAGTATGAAATAGAAAAACCCCATGGTAAGTTTTAAACAGCAGCTCGGTATAAATTTCCAATACAGTAAGACTGGGAATGAAGAGTTTTTGTCCAAAAGGAATATTCCAGTGAACTTTTGAACTTTGAATAAGGAAATTTCTAGAAAAACTGAAGACTGAAGAGTAAAAAAAACTGAAGAAGTAAGAGTCTTCCAGCAAAATTGAAATTTAATTTTCCAGTTTTCCTCCTCCCAAAAAATTCCAAAAGATACCTTTGGTAGGCATAGATTTTTAAATTTTCATATTCAGAATTAGCACAGCAGCAGCAAATAATTATACCAGTATTACTCAGGATTGATAGTTTTTATTTATAGAATTAATTCCTGGTTTGTCATAAAAGGCTTGTAGAAATGACAAAAGTTTTACTATGACAAACTAATTTGTAGAAATGACAAAAGTTTTACTATGACAAACTAATTTATAGAAATGACAAAGTTTTACTATGACAAACTAATTTATCTACAGTCTGAAAGATCTGGAAGTTCTGCTGGCATTAGTATCATTTACAGTGGCAGAAGTAATTAAGTAACTGCTGAAATAACATTAATCAAGCTTAAATTTCCACTGAGAACATTTTATAGTCAGAGAGTAATGTTATCAATATCTATACAGAAAGGAAACAGATATTATGATTTCAGAGATATAAGATGATTTCAAATTTTCTAAGTTTAGTTGATAAAATGGTTTGACAGTCTAGACTCACAGAACAGAAAACAGATAAATCCACATCACTCCACCCCTTGGTAAACAAAGAATTGTTTATCCTTTTTCTTGTATTATTGCAAATATTGATGCCAAATACCCTCAGCTACCAATTTAAGATACACTGAATGATGTATATATGAGAAGTTATGATTAAAGTTTTAAGTTCAAAGTCAAGAAATAGACTGTTTTTTAAAAAAACATGGTAAGGAGAAAGAAAATATCTATGTTGAACTAAGAAATACTTAAGCAAGGTTATGAATGACTAATAACTAAGAACAATAGTCTTTTTCAGTATCTATTTTTTTTCTTTTGCAAAAAAAGCCATTTATAGTTCAACAAGTTAATTGTTATAAATGCTAGGGTATATATTTGTGCCAACCCATTTTAGTATGAGCAATTAAGTTTTAACTTTATTTTATTTATTTATTTTTTTGGACCCTGTATCCAGTCTTGTTTCACACATTGCATTTGATTGTTTCAAACATTGTTAATGTTGGCCCAATATTTCATTTTATAGATTATGGAATTATTTAGTCATTTTGCTAATGCTAAACTTAACAGGTTGTTTCCTAATAACAGTAAACTTTTAGAAGTAAGTTTACATAAGGATCTTTCCACATTTCAGATTATTTCTTAAAATTGAAATGTTTGAAATTAAATTACTGCTATGAACATATTTCCAAGTTGCTCTCCAGAAAGGATCCCTTTATTTTTAAATGTTTTTTTTTTTTTTAAATTTTTATTTTTTGGTACTGGGGATTGAACCCAGGGACACTTAACCACTGAGCCACATTGCCAGTTCTTTTAATATTTTATTTAGAGACAGGGTTTTGCTGAGTTGCTTGGGGTCTTACTAAGTTGCTTTGAATTGTCGATCCTCCTGCCTAAGCTCCCAAATCACTGGGATTACAGACTTTATCACTGCACCTGGCTGTTCTTAAATTTTGAAAAAAATTATTTTTGCAATACTGGGGATTGAACCCATGGAACACTCTTAATTACTGAACTGCATCCCTACCCTTTTTATTTTTTACTTTGAGACAGGGTCTCACTAAGTTGCTTAGGGCCTAAGTTGGTGAGGCTGACTTTGAACTTGTTATCCTCCTACTTCAGCCTTCCAAGCCACTGGAATTACAGGTGTGTGCCACCGTGCCCAGCTATACTCTGTTTTTATATAAACAATATGATGATGTGTATCTTACCTTAGTTTGGGTGGCACTGAGTAGTAGAATGGTATTTAAAATGTTTTTTTCTGATTTGTTTGGTAAGATTGGTTTCTTTGAGACTGGTTTCTTTGATTCTTCTATGTGTGTAAAGGTACTTGTTATTTATTTATTTTCAATGAGTTGACTGCTGTCATTTATTGGGAATCTTTGTATGAATTCTTTTTTTTTTGATTTAAAAAATGAAATTTATTACAGTAATTGAATTATAATTAAAGAAGAAACCAGGCCCAAATGGCTTCAACAAAGGAAAAAATAACTCAGTCTTCACAAAAGGAAAGAACAAAACTCATCTACAAAAACTCTTCCATAAAATAGAAAAAATGGGCAGATTCTACCAATTAATTTTGAGAACAACCTAACATTTATACTAACCTGACAGTTATAATAAAGAAAATTATAGGTTACTATCACTTATTTTTTTTAATTTGAAATCTTGCAGACTGTGTTTCCTGCATGATTTATTACATTAGAAATCAATCACCTTAAGATATGTAGAACCCCATCCCCATGTCTCAACTACTTCAAAATTAAACAGCATATTTATAAATATCTCACAGGTCAAAGAAGAAAGCACAAGAAAAGTAAATAAAAAGTGGGCTTTTTTGGTACTGATGACTGAACTGAGGGGTGCTCACCCACTGAGCCATTTTTTATATTTTGTTTAGAGACAGGGTCTCACTGAGTTGCTAAGTGCCTCACTAACTCATGATCCTTCTACATCAGCCTCCCAAGCCGCTGGGATTATAGGCATGCCCATTGCGCCTGGCCTAAAAAAGTGTTTTGAATTAAGTGATAACAAAAGCTTAAAATATCAGAATTTCTGGGATGAAACAGTACTCAGGTAAACACTTACAATTTAAAGTACTTGTATCAGAAAGAAGTTAGATTAACAATCAGATTACTTTCAAATTAGATAGTAGGGAGGAAAAAATAAGAGTAAGAGCAGAAACATGAAATAGAAAAGAAGTAATACAGCTAAAAGTTGATAAAAATCTAAAAAGTCTAATCAGGAAAAAACACAAAAATTAATTCTTTATGTTTTATGTAATTTAATATTTTGTTATATTTGTTGCAGGTATTTTCCTAATTTAGTGTTTTAGTTCTATCATGTTTTTTGATTGTTGTTGACTTCTTTTAAATACATAGTTTTCTTTTATATTTTGTTGTTTATGAACCTTTACTTATTTATTTTTATGGGTGTTGAGAATCAAACCCAATGCCTCACACACGTGCAAGGCAAGTGCTCTACCACTGAGCTACAACCCCAGCCCCCTGCATAGATTTTTTTTTTTTAATATTATATTTTTTAGGTGTAGATGGACACAACACAATGCCTTTATTTTTTATGTGGTGCTGAGGATCGAACCTGGGTCCCGCCCGTGCCAGGCAAGCGCTCTACCACTGAGCCACAATCCCAGCCCCCTACATAGATGTTTTAACTTGCATTTTATTTGGACTTTCCAGTTCTATGTATCCTAAGGTTTTTATACTATTTTTTGTGAACTTTGTCCAATTTAATAGCTGTGTTTTTTGACTGCCTTCCTGCTTATCCATATACATCTTTTCTTATTGCTTATCAGTAATTCTTCTGAATACAAGATTTTTAAAAAATCACTACTTGTAAATAAAGTTTTTTTACCTTAATTCTGCTTTATTTTTGTGTAACTTGATTCAGTGCAGTATCTTAAAAATTGTTGACTTTTGGGGTACTTTCTTAGGTAGGAGGACCAGAGGGGTGAGATATTTTACATTTTCAAATTTGGGGAAGAGGTATTTGATATATGTAGGGAGTCATAGTAAAATTCAGGTGCTTTGAACAGTGGCCCAACCTATTTGGAACACATGATTTTGTCCTTCCTCTGTATAGTGTTTTGGGAATGTCGGTGGAATCCACTCCTGATGGAGAAGAGAAGGAAGAGTTGGAAGAAAAGGAGAAAGAGGAGGTAGAAGAAGATATTTCAGAAGATACTACACACTCCTTTGCTGCTGAAGGTAGCTTATGCCTTCCTTTTTCAAGATAGTAGATTGTTTTGTATTCCTTTAATGTGATAGTGTAGGTGTCTCAATTTTGTTTATTTTATCAGGTTGTTTTTGTCATGATTAACTTAAGAGTCATTAAGAAATTTGCTCATACAATTATGAGCTCACTATTCCACAATTTAGATCGCTAACTTGGTGTTCTGGAGTTTTTAGCTCTTTGAATAGTCCCCTTTCTGCATATTGACTCTTCCCCCCCCCCCCCCCCCGCTTTTTTTTTTTTTTTTTACCCTAGTGCTTGAGTTTGAAGCCAGTGGTGCTTTACCACTGAGCTCCATCCCCAGCCCTTTATATTTTTTATTTTGTTACAGGGTCTCACTAAGTTGCTGAGACTGGCCTCCAACTTGGTGATTCTCCTGTCTGAATCTCCCCAGTAACTGGGATTACAGGTGTGCACCACCATGCCCAACTTCTTCCTCCTTTTTTTTTTTTTTTTTTTAATAGTCTTTTTAGTTGTAGATGGACACAGTATCTTTATTTGTTTATTTTTTTTATGTGGTGCTGACGATTGAACCCAGTGCCTCACGCATGTGAGGCAAGCGCTCAACCACTGAGCTACAGCCCCAGCCCCTTCTTCCTCCCTTTGTATTCATTTGTTTTCGTATATGTTTAGCATCTGAATTGCTGTTTGTGTGGGTGTAGTTTATGGTACACCTTTAGAATGTAGACATGGTCTACCATATTAGATGCTGTAATATTTTGTGGTACTCAAGTTTTTTCCTGCCATATATTTTTCCCCTTCATTTTTAATGCATTTACTCTTGATTCTTTGGTGGTGGTGTTGTTGTTATTTTTTTTCATGGTGCTGAGAATCAGACATGCCTCATGCATGTTAAGCAAGCACTCTACCACTGAACTACATCCCCAGCATCTTTTTTTGGGTGTGGAGGGCGCCAAGGATTGAACTCGGGGACATTCAACCATTGAGCCACATTATTCTTATTCTTGATTTTTTGGGAAAAATTTGGGGGCCAGGGCTTTGTGAAGGACTTAACATGATCCTCCTTTTTTTTTTTTTTTTTTTTTTTTTTGGTATTGAGGATTGAATCCAGTGGTGCTTAACTACTGAACCACATCCTCAGCCCTTTTTTATATTTTGTTTAGATACAGGGTCTCACTGAGTTGCAAAGTGCCTCACTAAGTTGCTGAGGCTGGCTTTGAATTTGCCATCCTCCTGCCTCAGCCTCCCGAGCTGCTGGATTATAGGTGTGTGCCCCTGTGCCCGCTTTTATTTTATTTTTTTAATTAGTTATATATAACAGTAGAATGCACTTTGATACGTTATATGTAATGGAGTATAATTTCTCATTCTTCTGGTTATACATGATGTAGAATCCCACTGGTTGTACAGTTATATATGTACCTAGGGTAATAATGTCTGATTCATTATACTATCCTTCCTACCCCTATTGGCTTCCCTCCCTTTACTATCCTCTACCTAATGTAAAGTAACTCTGTTCTTTCCTAGCCTCCCACCTAATTGTGAATTAGCATTTACATATCAGAAAAATCATTTGGTCTTTGTTTTTTGGGGATTGGCTTATTTCACTTAGCAGTATATTCTCTAGCTCTATCCATTTACTGGCAAATGCCATATTTCATTCTTCTTTAAGGCTGAGTAATATTCTATCATACACACACACACACACACACACACACACATACACACACACACCACATTTTATTTTTTTATTTATCCATCTGTTGAAAGGCACCTAAGTTGGTTCCATAGTTTAGCTATTGTGAATTGAGCTGCTGTAAACATTGATGTGGCTGTACCACTGTAATATGCTGATTTTAAGTCCTTTGGGTATAAACTGAGAAGTGAGATAGCTGGGTCTAACAATAGTTCCATTCCAAGTGTTCTGAGGAATCTCCATATTGCTTTCCATAATAGTTACACCAATTTGCATTTCCACCAGCACCTTTTCCCCTACATCCTTGCCAACATTTATTGATTGTATTCTTGATAATTGCCATCTGACTGGAGTGAGATGAAATCTTAGAGTGTTTTTGATTTGCATTTCTCTAATTGCTAGAGATGTTGAACATTTTTTCTTAAATTTGTTGATTAATTGCATTTCTTCTTCTGTGAATTGTCTTTTGAGTTCCTTAGCCCATTTATTGATTGGGTTATTTATTCTTTTGGTGTTAAGTTTTTTGAGTTCTTTATATATCCTGTAGATTAATGCTCTATCTGAGCTGTATGTGGTAAGGATTTTCTCCTATTCTGTAGGCTCTCTGTTCACATAATCTTATTTCTTACGCTTTGGGAGTCTTGTTAAGGAAGGCAGTTCCTAAGCCAACATGGTGAAAATTTGGGCTTACCTTTTCTTCTGTTAAATTCAGGGTCTCTGGTCTAGTGCCTAAGTCTTTGATCTACTTTTGAGTTGATTTTTGTGCCGGATGAGAGAGAACAAAATTTCATTTTATTACATGTGGATTTCCAATTTTCCCAGCACCATTTATTGAGTAAGCTATCTTTTCTCCAGTGAATGTTTTTGGCACCTTTGAACATGATCCTCTTTTGCTAAGGGCCAGCACCTGCACATTGATAATGTTGTAGAACTGTAACTGATTTCTTGGAATTTTGTTCCTAGATCCTGCTTCATCACAGTTGGGCTTTGAGGTTCTGGAACTCTCCCAGAGCCAGGATGTTGAAGAACGTACTGTTCCATATGAAGCAGATAAGGAGCATCTACATTCAGTAACCACCAACTCTGGTTATACCAGGCTATCTGAAACAGACGCAGATACTGGTATGAAATATGTTTTCTCATTTTTGGATTTTTTTTAAAGTGTTTTCCTCCCTTGCTAAAGCTAGTCATTGTTTTCTTTGATAAGTTTTTTACCAAAATTAATATAACCTAATATAAGTGAGATTGCAGAGTTGGCTGGTAAATATTTGTCAGTTGATGGCTTGCAGATTGAAGTTTCCTGTTAAGTAGGTAATTGATTACTTTTCTTTTTTTAGAATGGTGTGTGTTTGTGTGTATGTGTGTGTGCTTATTTATTTATTTGATACTGGGGCTTGGAGTCAGGGATACTTTACCACTGAGTTACATTCCTAGTTCTTTGTATTTATTTTAATTAATTAATTTGTTATTTATTTTTGATACCAGGGATTGAACCCAGATGTGCTTAACCTCTGAGCCACATTCCCAGCCCCTTTTTGTTTTGAGACAAGGTCTCCCTAAGTTGGCTTAGGATCTCACTAAGTAGCTAAGGCTGGCTTTGATCTTGTGATCCTCCTGCCTCTGCCTCCTGAGCAGCTGGGATTCCAGGCATGCACCACTGCACCTGGCTATTCTTTTTAAGACAGGGTCTTGCTAAGTGGCGGGTAAGTGGCTGAGGTTAGCCTCAAACTTGTGATCCTCTTGCCTTGACCTCCTGAGTTGCTGGGATTATAGGCGTAAACCACCTAGCTTGGCTTGTATATATTGTTAAACTGGATTTATTTCTGAAGTTGAAGTATTTGCCTTCTAAAAATCATTTAGGTGGCTGGGTAGTTGGCACATGTCTGTAATCCCAGCAACTTGAGAGGTTGAGGCAGGAGGATCGTGAGTTCAAAGCCAGCCTCAGCAACTTGGCGAGGCCCTAAGTAACTCAGCAAGACCCTGTCTTAAAAAGAAATGCCAGGTGCTATATTAAAAAAAAAAAAAAAAGTCGGGGGGAGGGCTGGGGATGTTACTCAGTAGTTAAGTGCTCCTAGATTCAATCCTTGGTACCCCTGTCCAAAAAAAAAAAAAAAAAAAAAAAAAAGTCATTTAGGTGGACCAGTAATATAGCTCAGTTATAGGATCCTTGTTTAATGTGTGCTAAGTCCTGGGCATGATCCTCAGTACTGGAAAAAAAACAAAACGCATTTAGGACTGCTTCTGGTACTTTGATAAATTAAATATTTCCTTCCTATCTTCTTCTTGTCTTCTTCTAAAACTTGAAGCAGTTAAGCATGAAGAACAGTCCAGTGAAGATATCCCTATGGAAGAACAGCCCAGCAAAGACATCCCTGTAACACTAGAGCCCAGTAAAGGTATACATGCACTAGAAGAGCAAAATCTACCACCTACAAGGTAAATATATGTATGAAAAAAAATATGTGTATGGGTTTTTGCCTTTGGATTATATTAACTTCATTTTGCCAAGTGAAAACATTTTTAGAAATTGTTGATATGTTTTTTACCCTTTGAAATTGGTATATTTCTGTCCAGTAGAAACATTGATTCATAAATATTGGTCATATTTGCAGTATGTTTGTTCTTATCTTACTGTGAACCTTTTAAAAGGTGATTTATTGCTGCTGTAACTATAAGCCTGATTCTATAATCTTTAGTTACTCTCCTCTGTAATCTTTGCCCAGAGTCTGTAGGAAGTCTTTTTAGCTTCTCTGGTGTTAGGCAGAATCACATGAATACAATGTTTGAAAACCTACTGTTTCTATACTTGAGCATCAAGATTTCTTTGGATCTTTAGGTATCCTGCATCTGGTAGTTTATGATATAGATGTATATAGATTTCTCTTAGTGTTTTAACTTCTTAACTTGGTATGAATTTGAACAGTGAAGATATGCTTCTGCTCTATGATGATTATGTTATCCCAAACTTTATTGCCCCTGATCTGTATGTGAAGTTTGGATATGACAGGAAAATTGAGATGCTTCCAGTTTGGGATGAGGTTGCATAAGTATTCAGTTTTGTTTTGTTTTTTCCTTCAATAGGAACAGTGGGGTTTCCTGGGTATGGTGGCCCATGCCAGTAGTCAGGAGGCTGAGGCAGGAGGGTGTAGGGTTCAAAGCCATTCTCAGCAAAAGTGAGGTGCTAAGCAACTCAGTGAGACACCCTGTTTCTAAGTAAAATACAAAATAGGGCTGGGGATATGGCTCAGTGGTTGAGTGCCACTGAGTTCAATCCCTGGTACCCCCCCACCAAAAAAAAAAAAAGAAAGAAAAGAAAAGAAACCCAGTAGGATTTGAGGTCCTAAACAAAGTTGAATATTAAGAGAAGTTGTCTTGGGCTGGGGAGCTGGGGATGTGGCTCAAGTGGTAGCACACTCGCCTAGCATGCATGGGGCACTGGGTTCGATTCTCAGCACCACATAAAGACAAAATAAAGATATTGTGTCCACCTCAAGCTAAAAAAACACAAATATTAAAAAAAAAACAAGGAGAAATTGTCTTTCTAATGTAAAATGCTTAACAGTGGCAAACTTTTTAGATTTTTTCTTTAAGAAAACTAGAACAAAATCCACAATCTGCAAAGTAAACCATGTAAGAAATTCTTCCAGCTAGTATTTCTTCCTGAATAGGTGAAACCTCTGGGAAGGGGCTGAAAATGAGTTTCTTAAATGTGTGAGTATTGTCATTGTGAAGAGCTCTTGGTTTGATCATGGGTTGATTAGATCAAATGGAAAAGATCAGCTGAAAATAATATGTGTGTGGCAGTAGTGCAGAAGATAGTTCACATATAAGCACTTTTCTGGGAAGGTCATCATTTGATTGCTTCCCTTAGTGGCTTTGTGTTCTGGATCAGAATTCTTTATATAGGTCTGGATAACAGCTCATGTGACAAAAATTCCCAGATCACTTATCAGAATTTTTGGAAAGTTCAAAGTACAGAGCGAGCAGAATTGAAAAGAGGTGTTGCTGTGTGAGAGACTGAAGCAGGCTTTGAAATGGGCTGAGGCCTTTGCAAAGTAACTTAATTCACTTTCAGTGGGCAATTACATAGGTTACAACCTTCTGCTATTCTTGAAATCATTGATGAAAATCACAAAACAAGTAAAGTTTTTTAGTTAAAAGATCAAAGCAATTGAACTTAGAATCCTTTTCTCCTGATGCTATGAATTTTCTAGGTCAGAAGACATGTCTTCTAGTCCCAAAGTGTCTCTTCCTGCTGTGGAAACAAAAGAACAAATGTGTGCTCAAGAACTTCTGGAAGGTGGACTGCAGGTTCAGAAGTCACCAGAGCCTGAGGTTTTGTCAACCCAGGAAGACTTGTTTGACCATAGCAATAAAACAGGTACAAAGGATGATCAGTTATTATAACTCCTTTTCTCCTCTTATTTCTGAGGCTGCTGTTTTAAGGTAGAAAGCACTTTAATAGTTATGCTGACATGTTTGTGAAATGTAATGAAAATATGTTTCTAGCCTATTAGTGAGAAGGGCTTCTGGGGAATGATTGCTATTTGACATTTTAATGTAAGTTTCTCTCTTTGGAGATATTGAAGAATAATAGCTAATAAAATAAATTCGATAATATGGACAGAGTAGCCTTTTTTTTTTCCTGTTACCATGTTTACTAATGCCTCAAATCCTAAATTTTTTAAGTCAGGTTTTTCATGTTCACTTTGTTTATTAGTTCACCTGCCACAAAAAGTAAGTTAAAAATCTAGCAGAAAGGAACTTAAAACAGAAGACTAGAGTGGTATTTGCTTCATACTTTTGTGTTCTCCCACCCTCCCCATTTCACAACTTCAGGGAGCATGAAAGCATTAGTAATAACCCTCAAAACATAACTTGTTGCTAAGTGTAGTGGAGCATGCCTGTAATCCAGCAGGAGAATCTCAAGTTCAAGACCAACCTGGATAACTTAGACCCTATCTCAAAATAAAAAGTGGAAAGGGCTGGAAATGTGGCTCAGTGGTTGAGCACGTTGGGTTCAATCCCCAGTACTGCAAAAAAAAAAAAAAAAAAGAAAAGAAAGAAAGAAAGATATTGTATTGATTAAGGAGTTAAGGGAAGAAGGCTGTATTCTTTTACTATTTTGTGAGATAGATTTAGAAGGTCACCAAGAAGCCTTCACTGAAGCTACAGGTTGTTTTTAAGACATTTATTTTTACTTAGGATTAATAAAGTTGACATTCCATTTGTTGCTAAGGAGAAGAATCCAATAGGAAACTTCATGATACATATCAGTGATGGCTGCTTATATATTCTTTTATTAATGCATTATCATTTTTCGTCTCCTTTGAGGAGGCCCAAGTTCTAATTATGAAAATTGCTGCATTCGTATCATCAGGTGTCATGCGCTTTGTTTTGACTTCTCCCATCTGCATCATGGCATGAGCTTTACTACATCTTAGGTAGACCTTGGAATAAAAGGCTCGCTTGCTGTTTTATAATAGAAGCATCACAAGGAAGAAGAGCAGCCAAGCAGAGGTATAAGGATTCTTTTCCTCTCCAAGCTTAGATTATGACAGAAAGGACTAAGGAACTCTTTTCATCAATTCTTTATTTTAAAAACCCATAATTTTGGGGGGGTTGATGTTCACAGAAGATTTGTGTTGTATTGACAGTCCATTAATTATATACAATTAGAAAAGAATTTCTGCCCTCTTAAAACATGGTTGAAAATATGGATATTACTGTTTTTGCAGTACTGAGTTTTTTGTTTTTTTTTTTTGACAACTCTGTAATGGCAATCTGAGAAATGAATGCAACCAGAATTTCTTTTTTTCCAATAGCTTCTGATGATTGCTCCACTCCTTCAAAGGAGGAAGGTGGGTGTTCTCTGGCTTCCACACCTGCTACCACTCTACACCTTCTTCAGCTCTCTGGTCAGAGGTCTCTTGTTCAGGAGAGTCTTTCCACGTAAGTAAGCCTGTAATATCTTGGGCCAAAGCAACATGTCCCTGAGGGTCATAGGCTGTTTTTGAAAGAGTTAAAGTTGCCTGCTAGCTCAAAATTCTTCTTAGAACCAAAAGAATCTGGGCTTTAGAATTTTGGGAATGAGAACTTAGTGGCACTATTGAGGGAAAATAGATCTGGCTTTCCAATGGAGACTTTATTATAGCCCAAAATTTTCACTATGAAAGAAAATGTTACATATTCAAAACAAGCATTCTGCTCCTCCATTTTACTAACAGTTTTTCCCATATAACAGTATAGAGTGGAGAATAGGTTGTTATAGTTGACAATTAAATGTATTTTTTCATCTCTGTAGGTAGAGCAAAGAGGTTTGCTTTTTTTAAATAAAATTTGCATAGTCTTCTATTATGCAAAAAATGGAGTAAAAAGATTTTTTTATTTGTAATCTACAAATGAATTTTTAATGCTTATCATGTTTTTCAAAATCATGATGTTCTTGTGTCTGGTTTCCCATTTCGTTCTTACTCTTTAAAAAAAAAATTCTTATATTAGAAATGTGTGGTGTGGGAAATAGTTATTCAGTGGTTCTTCCACTGGTCTCATATTGCTTTGTGGGGGAAATGCTATTTTCTGAATGATTTAGATATTTTTTCTATTAAAAAGTAAAAACTTTGGGAACTGTGGTTATGGTTAAATAATCTGTGATTCTCTCTTTTTATAAAGGAATTCCTCAGATCTTGTTGCTCCTTCCCCGGATGCTTTCCGATCTACCCCTTTTATTGTTCCTAGCAGTCCCACGGAGCAAGAAGGGAGAAAAGGTGAGCTCTCTTCATCTGTCTGTTGATCTAAGATTAGAAGAGGACTGATAATGTTGCCCACTGGTAGAACACTTTACTAGTATGCAAGAAGCCCTAGGTTCCATTCCCAGCACCAGGGGGCAAAAAAAAAGCAGCATTGCATCTCTTCCTTCTTGCAAAATATTCTGTTCCTTTATACTTTAGGTCACTGTGCCCTACGCTATTCAGGAGGACTCCTGTCTCTCTTTCAGTTATATAGCCTAGTGTAAAGTGCTCTCCTCAGTTGCTTTTCTAGCATAGATTCTTCTTAGATTTTTGTCATACTGACTCAATTTTTACAAAGACCCTTAAGGAAAAAAAAAATAATAGTTTGAAGTTGTACTCAAATTAATATGGTGAAGAACTGGATTTTGAATTTTTTTTTTTTATTACTAATGGTCTGGTAGTCTCCAATAGCATGCTAATAATACATCATTCTGGTGAGAGAGGACCAATAATTCTTTCTTATACTCTTTATAAACTATTTTTTGCTATTATTAAAATAGTTTTATCCAGCGGTTGACTAGGAGCAAGTGGAAAAATTTAAATCTATTCACATTCTCCTTTGAGGACTTAGTGATTTTATATTACTTTATTCACATGAATACTTCTCTTTTCATTTGCCTGGTTTACCTTACTTATCTAAACTGCTCTTTTGCTCTGCCCTCATCTTCTATCCAATTATTTAATACATTTCTAAATTCTGCTGTTTCTACAAAGAAGTTTTTTCTAATTTGTGATTTTCTTCTTTTCATTCTTTCAGGTATTAATAATATTATAATAGCATATATTTGTTGAGTACCTAGTATATGCTAGACACTGTTCTAGGTGCTTTTCAATTTGGTTTTAGGTGTCTCTCTATGGTTTTTCTCATTGAATCCTCACAACAGTCCTAAGAAGTAGGTATTTCTTTTACAGAAGAGGAAATGGCGGCACAGAGAGATTTCACACCTCATAAGAGGCAGGATTAGAACTTGGGCATTTGCCTCTAGAGCTTTTGCTCTTATCTGTCCTGTAATGTGCCTTATGTGGTATCCTGTTGTTTCTGCTTGAGTACTGTAAATTTACAATTTAATTGTTTTTCAAGGGTAATTTATCCATAATAAAAGTTAATTTTAGAGTTTCTGCTGCTAGCAAGTTTGTCTCTAGCTATTTTCTCTTAAAATTGAATTATCTAAATAGATTAATATGATTCTAACTATAATGTGATTAGTGACATCTTCAGTTAAAAATGGTAAATTCATTCTATTAAAAATTCTGTTAGGGCTGGGGATGTGGCTCAAGCGGTAACGTGATCCCCTGGCATGCGCTGGGTGCTGGGTTCGATCCTCAGCACCACATAAAAATAAAATAAAGATGTTGTGTCCACCGAAAACTNATCCTCAGCACCACATAAAAATAAAATAAAGATGTTGTGTCCACCGAAAACTGAAAAATAAATATTAAAAAAATTCTCTCTCTCTCTCTCTCTCTTTCTCTCTCTCACTCCCCCCTCCCTCTCTCCCCCTCCCCCCTCCCTCTCTCCCCTCTATCTAAATTCTGTTAATGCAAGTTAAGTTTGGTTAATTCTTAGAACAGTTTCCTCTGTCTTTAGTGCAAACATTGAAAATATATAAATGTCATTATATTAAAAATGCTGTCTTTGTGATCAATACTCATAGAAAGTTTGGAAAATGTATAGGAAAGTAATGAGAAAACAATAAAATCACCTGTGATACCACAATCCATATTGAATTACAATTATCATTTGGATATAGTCCTTTCAGAGTGTTTTCTCTTAAATATGAAAAAGCGTTTTTACAATTTTTACAGGCATCATATTATGTGTATGATTCGGTTTTCTTTTTTCCCTATGTAACATTTTCCCTTGTGAGTTGTATTTTATTTTATATTTATTTATTAATTAAAATTTTTTTTAGTTGTTAATGAACCTTTATTTATTTATTTATATGTGGTGCTGAGAATCCAACCCAATGCCTCACACATGGCTAGGCAAATGCTCTACCACTGAGCCACAACTACAGCCCATGTAGAGCATTTTTATATATAGTGCCTAAAATAGCAGGTCCTTAATGTGCCTTCTCAAGACAAGGTCAAAAGGTGCAATAAAAATACTTAGCACAGCTGTGGGTAGTGTATTAAAGGCTTGTGGCACCAGCTTCCAAATTAGCATTAGACCTGTATGCAAGATTGAGGCCAAACTAAATAGAAACAATAGGTGTTGGGAGTGTGGTTGCTAGTTACACAAATGTGGATTTTGTGTAAAACTAAATGGCATAGGAAGTTTTATGAGAGGTCTAGAGGAAGCTTAGTTGGGGTTAAGCTGTAAGGGGGAAAAGGCTGGCTCTAAGGCTGGCTCTACAAGTGGGTAGTATAGTATGAGAAAGCAGTGTTTTGTGTTTTGTGTGTGTTCCTTCCTGAGTAATTGGTGTTAGGTTTAGTGTCTTAGTTCTTTCATAAGTCAGTGCTGATTGATATTAGTAGGGTTTTTTTTCCTTCGTCTTTCTTTTAGCATCCACCCCTCTGCACTAACAGTTGTTAATGCAAATATAATGAGTTAATAAATATGTAGATGTTTATTCAGAGTGCTGAACAAGTTCACTGCCTTATAAGGCCTGGAGCAGAATATGTGATGACTAAATTAAATGGCATGATCTGGGTATTCTTACACACACAAAAAATGAGTTGTATGTAATTAAGAAAGGGGCTCAGAGGAGCCAATTTATCATATTTTATGGGTGGGTGGGTAGGTATCCCCAGATGAAATCCCATTTTAATCTGTATATAAAAATAGAAGTATGGTCACCGTTCCTGAACCTTTCCCAAAGAGGACATATTGCTATGCCCCAATATATTATAATTCCATTTCTTTTCTGAAACTTAAAATCACTATTAGAAGCCAAAATTGCTGTATGTAATTGTTGGTTGTGATGCTGAATTGTAATATTATGATTCTTTCTTTCTTCCTTCCTTCCTTCCTTCCTTCCTTCCTTTCTTTCCTTTCTTTCCTTTCTTTTCTTTCTTTCTTCTTCTTTTTTTTTAAAGTAGATGAGCCAGTGGATATGTCAGTGTTGTCTGAAGCAGGACAAGAGCCTTTTCAGAAAAAACTTCAAGGTGATGAACCTGTGGAAATAGAAAACGCCCCTCTCCCACCTGAGCCCATTGTATTACCACAAGCCTCAACACCAGTGTCTCAGAGCACACCAGTCTTCACTCCTGGATCACTTCCAATCCCATCCCAGCCTGAATTTTCTCATGTGAGTATTGTGGAAAAAGTTCTTTTCTCCTAACATCTTTTTTTTTTTTTTCTTGTGGCACTGGGAATTGAACCCAGGATTTCGTTCATGTTAGGCATGTGCTCGACCACTGAACTGTATCCCTAGCCCAACATCTTGTTTTATTAAAACAGCTTTATAAAATTCACCCATTTTAAGTGATCAATTTAGTGATATTTTGTAGAGTTGTGCAGCTGTTATCACAATCTACTTTTAGAACATTTCAAAGTCACCAAACATTTTAATACACTTTTGTTTAGATTTTGAACTGTTTTTAAATATTTTTAAGCATTTTTATTAGTTGATAAATTTTTAAATTTTATTTATTTATTGGTATGTGGTGCTGAGAATCGAACCCAGTGCCTCACCCATGCTAGGCAAGCGCTGTACCACTGAGCCACAGCCCCAGCCCTGTTTTTAAATATTTTGAAAATGTTATTAAAATTGAAAAGGTTCATGAATCATTATTTTATCTTAAAACTAATAGTTTTTTCCTTTCTACATGTCTACTTTTTTTAAAAAATGAAGCTTTTCATAGCAAACACAACTATAATCTTCTTTTTTCAACCAACATTTTGTCACAATAATTTTCAGTGTTATAATCATGTTCACGATAGCCTTTCAAAAGTTGTGTAGTATTTCTGAGTGAATGTACCATAATTTAATTAATCATTCTTATACTGAGAGCATCAGAATGATTTTTAATTTTCTGGTATATATTCTGACAACAAGGGAACTAATATCTAATTTGCATAATTTTAAAGTTAAATATTTAAAGAAATTAAATATAGGTATTAAGATGAATCGAAGCACCTTAATTACATCTAAGTGACTATTTGTTCAATCTAAATGTCTCTTCTTGTAAGACTTTACATAGGACAATTGTGGTGTTATTAGGATTATTTCTTTTATGGTTCTTGTTTGCAGGTGTTATAACCAGAGTTAAAATGAATTGTAATGAAATATGCCATGATTTTAATGAGAAGGAGACAGCAGGAAGAAATAATTTAATTGTTTCCTGGTGTTATTAGCTTGTTTTGTCGAAGACTTCCATTTTATGCAAATTATTAGGTCATTTGGTGGAGTGGTTAAGAACTAGGACTCCAGAGACAGAATTTCCTGGAGTCACTACTTACTCTGCTATTACTATCTCTGTGATCAATTGAAACCAAGCCTCAGTTTCTTCATCAATCAAATGTTGAGATTGATACCATCTACCCCCTAAGGTAGTCATCAAGGATAAATGAGTGGTAAATACTGCATAAGAATATTTATTGCTGACAGTGAAAGAGCTGAAGATAAGGTCACATAGAACTGAAGTGGATATTCAACCGCTATATATCTTTTTTTTAGCTTTTATTTTTCTGTCAATGATGTACATAAACATAATGTAGTACAGAAGAGTTATCAGAATTTATGGATAAGCTATAAGCTCTGACATAAAGCATTGAGAAGAATTTTCCAGAATATAGGTGATCTTAAAGACTGTGATAGATGTTTATTAGTGACCAAAGAAGATTTTTATGGGAATGATGTCTTTGAGAAGGTATTCTTATTCATGGGGGTGGGAAATGATGCCTGGTCACAGAGAACTGACTTTATGCAGATCAAGGCACTATTTAAAGAAATTGTTCTATATTCAACATTTACCAAATATATTAAGGAAGCTGTAAAATCAATAATGAAATTCTGAGACAAATGAGTGACTCCAAATACAGTGTAAAGATTCTGGAAGCTACTATGACTCTAATCAAATTTCTTTGGACTCATATTTTAAAATGTTTCATTCAGTGAAGCCCATGCCTCTTAGAAAATCTCTTAAGAAGCTGGGTGCAGTGTGCATACTTGGAATCATAGCGCCTGGGGAGGCTGAGGCAGGATGGTTGCAAGTTCAAGGCCAGCCTCAGCAAGTTAGTGGGGCCCTAAGCAACTTAGGCCCTGTCTCAAAATAAAAAAAAATAATAATAAGAAGAAGGGCTGGGGATGTGGCTCAGTGATTAAGTGCCCCTGAGTTCAAAAATAAAAGAAAATCTCTTAAGAGGCTGGGTATGGCAGTGCTTGCCTATAATTCCAGCTACTTGGGAGGCTTGGGCTGAGGCAAGAGGATCACAAGTTCAAAACCAGCATGGACAATTTAGCAAGTTGCTGTCCTAAAGTAAAATTTACAGAGGGGTGGGGATGTAACCCAATGGTAGAGTATTTGCCCATCCTGTACAAGGTCCTGGGTTCAATCCCCAGTACCACCAAAAAACAATAATTAAAAAAAAAAAAGGAAAAAAAAAAGAGGATGTTTATAATATAGCTTTCAGTTTTTTTAAATTAAAGATTCGATTTGAGGTAATTAATAAACATTTGTAAAAGTAAAAAAAGTTAAAAATAACATCTCTCCCCAGTTCTATTGGAAGGCAGCCTCTGTTTTCTAAGTTTATTTTCCCCCTTTTTGATATATATCTCCATAATTCTACGTAGCATGATTACATTTTTATAAATTCTGGTTTAAAAAATTTTGAGCTATTTCCCCGTCTTCTAAGTATAAATTATATTATGATTTATTTAGATCATTATTTGAATTAACATGGCTGTGTAAACACTAATTACAGTAGAGCTTGTGGACTGTTACCAGTCAATTGTCAAGATTTCCTTTCAGGGGCTTCGGATGTGGCTCAAGCAGTAGCGTGCTCGCCCCGCATGCGCGGGTCGCTGGGTTCGATCCTCAGCACCACATACCAACAAAGATGTTGTGTCCGCCGAAAACTAAAAAAAAAAAAAAAAAAAAAAATATTAAAAAATTCTCTCTCTCTTAAAAAAATAAAAATAAAATAAAGATGTGGTGTCCACCGAAAACTGAAAAATAAATAAATATATATATAAAATCTCTTTCTCTCTCTCTTTAAAAAAAAAAAGATTTCCTTTCAAGATGTTCTGGAGCCTCAAATTTTGTTTCATCTTTTTGGAGGAACCTCATTTGGAGTCTACTGATTTCTAATTGTTTCTAATTGTTGTCCTCTATGCCTGGTGCATAACTGTAACCTCCTTGGACTGTCATTCTTGGAGTTTCCTTTTACCTTTGTTTTGGGTATTTCTTAGACTCTATGTCTCAGTAGTCCTTCTATTCTTCTGCCTTCTCCTCTTCTTTTTCATCTTTCCCTTCTTTTTTCCCCCCATCCCCACTGCCTCCTCCCTTGTGCATACTAAGTATATGCTCTACCACTGAGCCACACCCCCACCCATTCCATATCTTTAAAAAATTTTTTTATTAGTACATTATAATTGTGACATATTCAAATATGCACATACAATAATTTGTTCCATTTCATTCCCTAAGTACCTCTCTTTTCTCTCCTCTCTATATTTGATTTTCTCCCTCATGTTGATGGAGGACATTCTCTGGGAACTTTTATTCTACTCTCCTACTTGATTTATAGTTTATAAAAGTATAGAATTGTAAATTGGTAATGTTCTTACTTTCAAAGTTTGTTTTTATTTTGGTATTGGGGATTGAACCCAGGAGGGCTTTACCATTGAACCTAGCCCTTTTTATTTATTTATTTTTAATATTAGGTCTTGCTAAGTTGCTTAGGGCCTTACTAAATTGCTGAGGCTGCCTTTGAACTTGGAATCCTCTTGTCTCAGTCTCCTGAGTTGCTGAGACTACAGGCATGTTCTACCACACCCAACTTTTAAAGTATTTGAAGGCAATGCTCTGTTGTCTTTGGATTTACAGTGTTGCTATTGAGAAGTTCAAGGCCATTCTGATACTGATTTTTTTGTGTGTGTGTGCGCTAGGAATTGAACCCCGGGTGCTTAATCATGGAGCCACATCTCTGGCCCTATTTTATATTTTATTTGGAGACAAAGTCTTGCTAAGTTGCTTAGGGCCTTGGTAAATTGTTGAGGCTGACTTTGAATTTGTGATCCTCCTGTCTGAGCCTCCTGAGCTGCTAGGATTACAGGCATGTGCCACTGCACCTGGCCCTTATCCTGTTCTTTTATCTTGTGACATGTTATTTATTTACTTATTTATTTTTGACATTATGGGCCTTTATTTTGTTCATTTATTTATATGCAGTGCTGAGAATTGAACCCAGTGCCTCACACTTGCTAGGCAAGTGCTGTACCACTGAGCCACAACCCCAGGTTCTTGTGACATGTTTTTTCCCTCACTCAAATCCTGCAGGATTTTCTTTTTGCTCCCAGTATTCTGAAATTTCCAAGTCTTTGGCATGGGTCTATTTTCACTTATTGTATTGGATGCTTGGTAGGCCCTGTTAGTTTAGAAACTCAAATTCTTCAGGAAATTTTAGATATTTAATTTCTTCCTCCATGTTTTTTTTTCCTTTTTCCCCCCCTGTTTTTTAATGGAATATCTATTATATGATTTTTTTTTTTGATGGTGGTTTTCTATTGTATGAATGTTGCAATAGAATGTTCTTATTCTGTCTCTTAACTTTTTATCTCTCTTTTCTGTTCAACTTTTTGGTTGATTTCCCAACAATCTTTTTCTTTTTTTTTTAAATAGTTTTATTGAGATGTGATTCACATACCATATAGTTCTGTGTAAAAGGTGCAATCCAGTGACTTTTGTTTTATTTTATTTTATTATTTTGAGGCACTGGTTATGGAACCCAGAGACTCCGTCTCCAGCTCCCAACAACCTTTTTTTTGTGGTGCTAGAGATGTGTTATGGTTTAGATATTAGGTGTCCCTCAAAAGCTCACATGTGAGACAATGCAGGAATGTTCAGAAGTGAAATGATTGGGTTCGGAGAGCCTAAACAAAATTAGTGAATTAATTCCCTGATGGGGATTAACTGAGTGGTAACTGAAGGTGAGAGGGTGTGGTGGAAGAAGTGGGCATTGGAGGGCTGCCTTTGAGGGGTATATATTTTGTGTCTGGCCAGTGTAGCGTCTCTCTGCTTCTTGATTATTATGTGAGCTGCTTCCCTGTGCCACACTCTTTCAATTTGATGTTCTGTCTCACCTCTCGCCCCAAGGAATGAAGCCAGCTGTCTGTGGCTTTGAACTTGTAATCCTCCTGCCTCAGCCTCCAGAGCTGCTGGGATTACAGGCTTGTGCCACTGTGCTGGCCCCAGATAGGTTTTAGTTGGTTTGGTTTTGATGCTGGTGTCAAACCCAGGGCTTATGTATGCAAAGCACGAGCTCTGCCACTGACCTATAACTCCCAGTCCAGTTTTGTTTGTTTTTATCTCTTTTAAGTAGGGGCTTCCCTTAGATGTCTGGAAATGCTTCATTATTTGATGATATTTAGGGTTTTTTTGTTTTATTTTGTCTGTGGTATTGGGGACTGAACTTGTCTACTCATGCTAGACAAGTGCTCTGTTACTGAGCTATACCCTCAGCTATTTGCTGATGTTTAAAAGTGAAATACCAGAAAGATGATTGGTAGTTCTCTACTGGTGGTTGGGCTTGTTGTTTCTGGGACTCACTGTAGTGTGATCTGTTGGGACATTTTGTTAAGACTGCCCTAATGTCAATAATTTTGATTGTCTTGGCCTTGTCAGATTCCCCAGGGAAATGTCTAATCTACTATATCTTGGCCTAGCTGTCATTGTACTAGAAGTTCATTAATGGTAAAGGACTTTGTTTGTTGGGGGGTATTCAGAACATAGGTTTCATTCAGCAGGTGTATTTTCTTTTAATCCCCCAGTTTTCAGTATATATTGATAACTACCTCTTGTCCTCCAGTCCAGGGACACAATACTCTTTCTAGGGAAGAGGAGGTTCAAGGAGAAAGGATAGGGGAGTTCAACTGCTTCTTAATTAGATTTCCAACCACTCTTCCTCCTGTTTTTAACACCACCCTCACTATGCTTCCAGAATTATCTGGTGCAACTGCCAAATCTTGTGACTTTTATTTTTTTTTTTTCTGGTGGGGATTTGGGGAGTGGTTTGGTTGCATAATTCTGGTTGCTTCTTTGCTTTCTCCACTTAGGAATTTAGCTTTCATTAATGTGCCAAATAGATTATCACTCTTCCAGAATTTTTTTCTGGAAAGATAACTCTTCCAGTTATTATTTCTTTTTCTTCTTCTTCCTCTTCATCCTCTTCATCTGCTTATGCTGCTACTTCTTCTCTTTCCTTCTTAAAAAAAAAAGTCCCTTTATTATTGCTTATTAGGGTTTCAGAAAGAGTTCAAGTAGATGTGTATATTCACTTAGCTCTTTAAAAAAATTATATATATATATATATATATATTTTAGTTGTTGATGGACCTTTATTTTATTAATTTATTTATATGCAATGCTGAGAATCGAACCCAGTGAATAGTATTCTATAATGTGGACACCCTTATTCATTAACCAATAAATGACATTTGGGTTCCTTCCAGTTTGGGGCTATTATGACTAATACTTGTTATGAACATTTGCATACTTATCTTTGCGTGGACATATGTTTTTATTTTTCTTGGGTAAATGCCTACTAATAGAATTTCTGTCACTTGGTAATACATGCTTAAGATAATATTGTACTGTTTTCCAAAGTGGTTGTACTTTTTTGTGTTCCTACCAGTAATGAATGAGAGTTCCATTTGTTCTGTATGCATACTTGCCAATACTTAGTTTTGTAAGTTCTTTAAACTTTAGCCATTCTTGTGATATATAGTACCATTTCATTATGATTTTAATTTTCATTTCTGTTGACACTAAGGCTATTATGTCTTTGAATTTTAATATCTGCTTTGTGAATGCTAGTGTGTTGTGAGATAGTAGAAAGTAAAATGAGTACATACTCCTACTTTATGAGATCTGAAATGGGCTCTTTATATCCCAAAGATTGTTATGTAACAGAGCCCATCATATGCATGACTCAAGTTTAGTAGCTTGATGGTATACAATTAAACTTAAGTGTCTTCCTACTCTTGAAAGGGTAAGGTAGCGCTTTTAGGTTTTTGTTTGGATTATGCTTATTCTCTATCACTGATTTTATAAGGCCCAAAACAGTGTCTTGTGTAGATAAAAGACTGGTGATTTGAACTTTGTATTTCTGAATTTATTTCTTTTTTTTTTTATTATCTTTTTAAAAAAATTTTTTTTTTATGTGGTACTGAGGATTGAACCCAGTGCCTCACAGGTGCTAGGCAAGTGCTCTACCACTGTGCTACAACCCGTAGCCCATAGAGTACTTTTATTTTTATTTTTTAAAAATATTTATTTTTTAGTTGTAGTTGGATACAATACCTTTATTTATTTATTTATATGATGTGCTGAGGATCAAACCCAGGGCCTTGCCTGTGGTAGGCGAACACTCTACCGCTGAGCCACAACCTCAGCGCCCCCCCCCACTACTTTAATTCATAGAGTACTTTAATTCTTGATTTAGAAATTTTAGATGAATGCAAGAGTTAGATATAAAAGAAATATGTTTGTGGTAATTTGTCACTTTTTATTCTTCCTTAGGACATTTTCATTCCATCACCAAGTTTGGAAGAAAGATCGAATAATGGGAAGAAAGGTGGAGATTTGCATAGTTCATCTTTGACTGTTGAGTGTTCTAAAACCTCAGAGATTGAACCAAAGAATTCTACTGAGGATCTTGGGCACTCTTTGACAGGGGATTCTTGCAAGTTGATGCTTTCTACAAGTGAATGTAGTCAGTCTCCAAATATGGAGAGCTTGAGTTCTCACAGGATTGATGAAGATGGAGAAAACACACAGATTGAGGATACTGAACCCTTGTCTCCTGTTCTCAATTCCAAACTTGTTCCTGCTGAAAATGATAGTATCTTGATGAATCTAGCACAGGATGGTCAAGTAGAACTGAGTCAGAATGATGCTAAAATCAAAGGAGATGACACAGAGAACAGAGATGACATTAGTATTTTAGGCACTGGTTGCAGAGGCAGAGAAGAAACTGTTGCAGAAGATGTTTGTATTGATCTCACTTGTGATTCAGGGAGTCAGGCAGTTCCTTCTCCAGCTACTCGATCTGAAGCACTTTCTAGTGTCTTAGATCAGGAGGAAGCTATGGAAATTAAAGAACACCATGCAGAGGAGGGGTCTTCAGGGTCTGAAGTAGAAGAAATCCCTGAAACTCCTTGTGAAAGTCACAAAGAGGAGCCCAAAGAAGAAAATATGGGGAGTGTTCCTTTGCACCTCTCTCTGACTGAAAGTCAATCCCAAGGATTGTGTCTTCAAAAGGAAATTCAGAAACAAGAATGCCCAGAGGCTATGGAAGTTGAAACCAGTGTGATTAGTATTGATTCCCCTCAGAAGCTGCCAGTACTTGACCAAGAATTAGAACATAAGGATCAGGAAGCTTGGGAAGAAGCAACTTCAGAAGACTCCAGTGTTGTCATTGTAGATGTGAAGGAGCCATCTCCCAGAGTTGATGTTTCTTGTGAACCTTTGGAGGGAGTGGAGAAATGTTCAGATTCCCAGTTGTGGGAGGATGTTGCTCCAGAAATAGAACCATGTACTGAGAATAGATTAGATCCCCAGGAAGAAAAGAGTATAGAATACGAGGGAGAAGTGAAATCGGCAACTACAGAAAAGGAACCTGTAGAGGAAGACTCTCCACATCTTCCCTTGCCTTTAGTGAGAGCAGATGAACCTTCCAGACCTGACCAGGAAATGAAACAGACCCAACCTCAAGAGAAAACAGATAACTCATTAACAGAAGACTCAAAAATGGCTAATGCAAAGCAGTTAGGCCCAGGTATAGATGCCCAGCAGCTTGACAAGGCCTCGGCTCATGTTTCACAAAGCTTCTGTGAAAGTTCTAGCGGTGAGTGTGATGTATATTGTTCTAAGTATACAAACAGATTATAATTTATTTATTTATTTATTTTTTTAAAGAGAGAGTGAGAGAGGAAAGAGAGAGAGAGAGAGAATTTTTAATATTTATTTTTTAGTTCTCGGCGGACACAACATCTTTCTTGGTATGTGGTGCTGAGGATCGAACCCGGGTCGCACGCATGCCAGGCGAGCGCGCTACCGCTTGAGCCACATCCCCAGCCCCCAGATAATAATTTATAATGAAAGATAGAACTAAATGCTTGTATCAGAGCTGAACATTAGTTTGAATTTATGTTTATGAATGGCCAATAATATTTGGGAAATTTTAATAAGATTTTGTTGCAAGTTGTAGATGGCATTTATAGATGCAATTATTTGTATCAGAGATCATTTGAGATTAATCAGCTTTGTAACTCAGGAGTAGTCATATGAGTATTTACAAGTTTTACCCATCTTTTTTTTTCTTTTTTCTTAGGTCCTACTTTTGTGCATACGTTCTCTTCTCACATATAAATATGTGAGAGAGAGAGAGAGAGAGAGAGAGAGAGAGAGAGAGAGAGAGAGAGAGTGTGTGTGTGTGTGTGTGTGTGTGTGTAGAATTGTTTTATATGTACATTTAATTTTTTTTCCAGTGTTGATATCAAATCTAAGGCCTGGCACATGCTAGGCAAATGCTCTGCCACTAACCTACACCTGAAGCCCTAATATATTTTTATATTTCCACAATTATTTTGAAGTACAAGGATATTTTTAAATAATAAAATCGTATTCAAAACTCTGTTACTGAGTATGCAGTTCCTGGTTGTTTCCTCCTATGGCCATTAAGTAAAATTTCCAAATCTGGTTCAACATATATATCTTTTCTTAGTGGTGGTGCTAGGGAATCTTGTGCATGCCAGACAAGTGCTCTACCACTGAGCTATGTCCCCAGCCTTTAACATATGTATATTTTAAATTTTAAACTAGAAAAGATATTGATTCTTGTTTTTTAGTCTGTTTTATGAAATTCGGCATCAGAACATGGATTACTTTGAAAATATTGGTAGGATATCATGTGTGACATTAGCTGCAAGAATTCAAACTTTCTAAATCTCCAGTTAGTATAATATAAAAACAAAACAAACTCCAAAAGCAAAAAATAAGAAACACAAAATACAAACTTAACAAGTTTGTAGGGATATAAAAATGAGAAAATGGCATTTGGACCACATTGTATCTATCAAACCTTTTGGTTTGTCTAGAGTAGTCACAGTTTATTCCTGTTGCTTAGATGTGGAATGTATTTTGACATATTATACATACATGGAGTATAGATGTGATTTTTTTTTAAATACTTCTTTTTATTTTTTATTTTTATGTGGAGGTGAAAATGAGACAGTGAAGACTGGGTGAAGATAGTGGCAGTGCTGCCTCCAGGGCCTGTAAAAGTCTCAATTTTCTATTAGGTTGTAATGATGCAGTTAGATAAATGGTCTTGTGTGTGTGTGTGTGTTGCGGGGGAGGGGGGGGCGCAGGGTGGTTATGGGGATTGAACCCAGGGCACTCTACAACTGAGCTACAGCCCTTTTTTAAAAATTTCATTTGAGATAGGGGTGTACTATCATGCCCAGCTTAAACTACTTTTAATAAGTCTTTCCTGCTACTGTGCAAAGGAAACTTTTTTACCAGGAAACAATTTTCAATAATTAATGCTTACAGATTACATTTACATATTATGGCATGTCATATAAAAGGATCTACTTAAAGGGTTAAATACTGAGTTTTCAAAAGTCTGGATTATTAGTTATAATATAGAAGATGGTTTCTGTCAAGAATACAGTAAAGGTAATCTTTCATTCTTGATTCTTTCAGGAATGAGGCTTTCTGAGGTGTTTTATTGTTGTAGTTTCTATATTTCTTCCAAATTCTTTGTTGTAAGGAATCAGCAGAAAATGAATATTTATCTACCTAATGTGTTTTCCCTTCTGTAACTATGGTGAAAATCTTTGCCAATTAGTGTAATGTTGAGATTCTCCATTCACACTCTTTATAATTTCTTTAGCTGAGCATATATATTTTCTTTTATTTTCAGAAACTGTTTCATTTTTCTCTTTTCATCCGGTCACTAATTTATTTTCCTCATAGATGTAAGTTTGTTTGTTTTTTTTAAAGGAAAGAAGTATCAAGATAGTTGGTATTAATAAGAATAAAAGTGGGAGCTGGGCATAGTGGCTTATGCCTGTGATCCCAGTGACTTAGAAGACCGAGGACGGAGGATTGCCAAGTTCAAAGCCAGCCTCAGCAAGTTAGTGAGGACCTAAGCAATTTAGTGGGAACTTGTCTCAAAAAGTGTTGGGGTTGTGGCTCAGTGAGCTCCCAAGGTTCAGTTTGGGTACCAAAAAACAAAAACAAAAAAACAAGAATAAAGGTGAAGTGGATGAAGATGAGAGAGAGAGAAACCATTTTCATAAATAGTTTTGACTGGGTGTGCTCGAGTGTCACTATTTTGAACTAGCCCAAGAAAGTAATAACAATTTTCAATATATTAGATTTAAGAGAATATTCTAGCACAATTCTTATTTTCCCCCAAACATGATCACTTTATTAAAAGAGATAAAACAATTAGGAAACCAGAAAATATGATTTTGGCAATTTGCTCATTCTGATTAGCAAAATTTTGGACCTGGGACCTAATTAAAAAGTAGTTTGTATCTTAACGGATGTTGTTTATAATAATTTAATAACAACTAATCAAAATGTGTAAAGGGGGATGCTCATGTGTGGAATTCATCATTATGCAGAGATTTAGATGTGAACATTACTACTTTGGCCTAGAGTGAGTGATCAATGCTCCTGAATCCTAAACCCTCAGATTTTTATTTTTAAAATAAATGAGTATTTTGAAGTCCTTTGAGCCATGAGATCCTTTGTTACCTCTTTTTTTTTTGAAATTTTTTTTAGTTATAGTTGGACACAATGCCTTTGTTTTATTTATTTATTTTTATGTGGTGCTGTGGATTGAATCCAGTGCTTCACATGTGCTAGATGAGCATTCTACTGCTGAGCCACAACCCCAGTGCCCCACTCCCGCTTTGTTACATCTTTTGCAAATTATTAAGTATTAACATCAAACTTCTCTTTGGAGAATCCTATAGACTGCTAAGGATTGTAAATGAACTCCTTGGGTTCATTAGCACTGCAGTGAATTCTATTATCCAGATTCTACTTGAAACTATCCACATTTTCATCACTGTATCTCCAGATGTACTGTTTGAAGTTCAGATGTTTTTATGTTCCTTTTGACCCCGTGTTCCTCAGGCCTTCCAAATTTGGGACTTCTGTTTGTTGTCTGGTCATATATTTTTTGTCAGTCCTATTGTTGATGGCTCTAAAGAGAGCAGAGAAAATAGTAGGAGATTAATTTGGAGACTTGGTGAAGGTGATGGGAATAGAATAGAATTTGGGAACAAAGGAAAGAGCAATTGAGATTTTTTGTAGCTGTCCTCATTTTACTTATTTTATACTTCTGTTTATCATTGTTTTGTTTTCATTTTTTATTTCAGAAACCCCATTTCATTTCACTTTGCCTAAAGAAGGTGATATTATCCCACCATTGACTGGCGCAACCCCACCTCTTATAGGGCACCTAAAATTGGAGCCCAAGAGACATAGTACTCCTATTGGTGAGTGAATTAAAAAAAAAAGTGATTTTTTTTTTTTTTTTTAAGGCAGGCTTTTGGAGTTATCATTCTTTGTGCAAGTGATATTTTTAGATCTGTGGAGTTGGGCCTGACTGATGAAGTTAATTTTTTGTTGTTGTTTTAGAAGAATAGGGCTTGGTGTTTGATTGTATGATTTTGCTCCCAAGATATAAGAGGTGATGAAAAGAATGAAAGAAAGGGTGGAGGGATGGAAGAGGGAGAATTACATATAAGAATTTTATCACATTATTTGTAGAGCAGTATAATCTGAGCGCTAAGTAGTTATACAGAATTGTTTTATAAGGAAGAGATGAAAAGTAAGGTAGAAGTGCTATTTATTCAGAAACCTGGCTACTCGTCAGTCTGCTGCTTGACAGGGCAAGACTTAGATCCTCCTTCCCTGAAGCAGCCAGTAGACTTCTACATTAACCTATTTGTTTTCTCTAGTCAGTGCTGGGAGGTAACAATCATGCCGTCTGGAGTCTCCTGCTACCTATGCCTGATGCTGGCAGATGTGGGTTGGCTGAGGGCTCATGCAGCATCCTTTGTCCAGATGCAGAAGTGGAACTGAATCCTGTTGCTCCTCTTAAGACCAGGTGTCAATACTAGTTCGTAGTTGTTGATACTTGTGACAGGATCTATCCTAGGAACCCCTTCAATCCTGCAGAGTTTTGGAGCCAAACAGGCAAATTGATGACCTTGAATTGCTGTTTTTCTTGTTTGTATTTTAGTGTTCTTTCTTTCTTCCTCCCTGCCTCCCTTCTTTCAGGTATTAGCAACTATCCAGAAAGCACTGTAGCAAACAGTGATGTCATGTCTGAAAGTATGGTTGAGACCAATGATCCCATACTTGGGAGTGAAAAAGGGGCTGCTCCAGAAGTGGATGAGAAACTGTGTCTGAGAATGAAACTGGTCAGTCCGGAGACAGAGGCCAGTGAAGAGTCTTTGCAGTTTAGCCTGGAAAGTAAGTTTCATTTTATATTAATCTTGGGTAATTAGTAGTTCTAAATCATCTGGGAAGTATTGGTTATCTTCTGTTTATAATGATTGGTACTTTTATAATTTAACTAGATTTGTGAAGTCCTATTCTCAATTTTTTTGGTTTCTGTTTTGATACTGGGGATTGAACTACTCAGGGGCACTTTACCACTGAGTTGTATTTCCAGTCCTTTTTATTTTTTATTTTGAGACAGGGCCTCACTAAATTGCTGAGGCTGGCCTTGAACTTGTGATCCTTCTGCCTTAGCCTCCTGAGTTGCTGGGATTACAGGCGTGTGTCACCATGCCAGGTTATTCTTATAGATTTAATTCTTTGCTTTTGGCTAGTTCCTGTCATGTAACTGAAGATATGCCATTTTATAGTCTCTGTTGTTTCCTTGTATTTCTGTATTAAACTTGTGTTTTCATTAAGTAATTGTTTTTCACATTCAGAAATAGTTCATAAGAAGGTAGAAAATTTGAATTGTGGATTTTACATTGTAGATTTGTGTTGACTCTTTCTCATATGAATTGTAAATTGTTTGGTATGGCTGGGAAACCGGAGAGTACCAGGAAGTGAATGCAGAATAGGACCAGGTTCTGAAAGCCGTTTTACATCATGCTGAGAAGCTTAAGAATTTAGACAGGAAAGTTGTAGGATCATGTTTGCTTTTTTAGAAGGATTGGTTATGTGTTTTAAAATTTTGTACAAGATGATTCTGTTGTTTGCCTAGCCCATTTCCTATTCTTCTGCCTTGCAAAATCCTACCATTCTTTAACCAGGAAGTGGGGTTATTGGTAGATGGGATATAGATGAGAGAATTAATCTGAGAGGTGAACAGAATAGAACCATGGGGCTAGTTAAAGTGAAAGTAAATGGGGGCAGAAAAAAATTACTTTATACATATATTGTATCATCTCGTTTTCATAATAGTGGGCCAGGGTAGGCAACCATCTTCCCATTTTATTGGTGGGAAACAGAATGGTTTTTAAGTTATGTGCCTAATGTCATAATTGATAAAAGGTTGACTGGACTTTGAGTCAGATCTAATTCTAATGCTGTTTAAGGGGGCTAGAAGGGGAAGGAGTCTCATAGAAGAGATTGTAAAGGAACGTTCAGAGAGGAGAAAAAAATGGGTGAGTAGCATGAAGTGATGGAAACCTACAGGGAAGAGAGTTACAAGAAGATAATGTCAGATACAGGAACTGACGTCTAGAAAGATGTGCCTGAAAATGTAATTGGATTTGGCAATTAGGATTCATTTGCTAACTTAGACAAGAGCCATTTCAGTGCAGTGGTTAGCTATAATGAAGATAATTGAGGAAAAATGGGGATGAAGAGAAAAATGAGCAACAAATGAACTCCATACTTTTAAGAAGTTTATATGAGAGGGCTGGGGCTGGAGCTCATTGGTAGAGTACCCGCCTCACATGGGTGAGGCACTGGGTTTAGTCCTCAGCACCACATAAAAATAAATAAAGATATTGCATCCAACTATAACTGAAAGTATATATATAAGTTTATATGAGAAAGGAAAAGAAAATGTGGTAAGTTATAGGGAAATGGAGGGTTGAGGGATAATTATTTTTACTTGGGAGAGACCTGAACAAGTTTATACTGAAGGAAGGATCCAGAATGGAGAATATAGGTTAAAGATGAGGGAACAGGTAATACAGTTGATGAATCAAGGTCCTGAAGGAGTTGGGAGGGAAAGCTTTCAAAGAATGCATAGAGTAGGTAGGCTTTTTTATTTGGCTGTACTGGGTTTTGAATGCAGGGCCTTGTGCACTGAACTATATACCTAGCTCTTTTTATTTTATTTTGAGACAAGGTCTAACTAAATTGCCCAGGCTGGCTCAAACCTGCAATCCTCCTGCTTTCTTAGCCATTAGGATTTCAGGTGTAGGCCAGTGCACCCTACTGAATAAGAGGGACTTCTGTTCTCTGATACCAAAGGGGAATACTTTTAGCTAATAACTTTGGAGCTTTTGTCAGACACTTTACATGTATGGCTATTAAATCTCATAACCTGTGGAGTATGTCCTGTTATTATCCTCATTTCATAGATGAGGAAACTGAGGCACAAGAAGGTTGAACACCTTCTCTAGTCACACAGAAGAACCTGGATTCATATCCAAGTGGTCTAGTTCTAAAACTCTAATGTTATTCTGCCATTCAGTGCTTATTGACTTGAATAATTAATGGGAAAGTAGTACATGATTCCATCTTTTTTTTAATCATTTTTTCTAGAAAAATAAGAGCTCATCAAGAAAGTATGCTGGGTGAGGTGGTGCACACCTGTAATTCCAGAGGCTTGGGAGGCTGAGGCAGGAGGAGTGCAAATTCAAATCCAGCCTCAGCAACTTAAAAAGCCCCAAGCAACTCAATGAGACCCTGTCTGTAAATAAAATATAAGAAAGGGCTGGCTGTGTGGTTCAGTGGTTAATTGTCCCTGGGTTCAATCCATGGTGCCAAAGTGCAGCGGGGGGTGGAGGAAGAAATGTGGTAGCCTTGAATCTTACTTTACTTCTGAAAGAGAGAAAAAAATGTGGTAGCCTTGAATCTTACTGTAGATCTGAAATAACAATTGGGAAGAAAAAATATTAAGGATGATCACATCTGTAAACAATACCACCTTTCCCAGTATTGAGGGCACAGTAGTATTCACTGTAGTCACAAACCTACAAGGATGGTCCTGGTTTATCTCTACTATATGAGGAGACTACGAACAACAAAGTAGTTTACCCCCAGATTGGACTAAGTGCAGGAGCTTGGACATGGAGCTAGGTTTCTGTTTCAGAGCGAGGGCTTTAACCGCTGAAATTCACTTGCCTTCTTGATGGACTAGATTTCATTGAGTCACAAATATTTTAGAAATATTAAAAAATATTTAAGGGTAATTTTTTTCTAAGAGCAGAATAAATTCTAAGTGAAAATCCCTTGACATTAGTGACATTTGTATGAAAATGAGTCTTTTTAGTATCATCCTTAAATCTTTGGTGTAGGTTCTTTCTTGGAAATGTATCTTATTTTTCAAATGTCTTTTTTTTAAAGTCCTTTGGGAAGAACTTGGGTACCTTCTGTTTATAGGTATTCCTAAAATGGTACTATATTTGCACATCAACCCAAAATATTTTCCTTTATGTCTTTTTTTTTTTTTTTTTGTACCTGGGATTGAACCCAGGGGTGCTTAACCACTGAGCCACATCTCTAGCTGTTTTTTGATTTTATTTTGGGGCAAGGTCTCACTGAGTTGCTTAGGGCCTCATTAAATTGCTGAGGCTGGCTTTGAACTCCCAATTCTCCTGCCTCAGCCTCCCAAGCCACGGGATAACAGGCGTGCACTACCACACCCGGCTCTCTTTCTTTCTTTCTTTCCTTTTTTTTTTTTTAGTTGTATATAGACTCAATGCCTTTATTTGTTTTTATGCGGTGCTAGGATCCAACCCAGTGCCTCACACTTGCAAGACAAGTGCTCTAGCAATGAGCTAAAACTCCAGCCCTATTTATCTTTTTTATTAAAATATATTTTAATTTTCTTTTTTAAATTCTTAAATTGCTTCAAATTATTTTTATGACTTAAATATATATATATATATATACACACATACATACACACACACACACACACACACACACACCCCACATATATATTTTGTTTTGGTACCAGGGATTGAACTCGGGGTCACTTAATTACCTAGCCATATTCCCAGTGCTTTTTTTAATGTTTTATTGTGAAACAGTGTCTTAGTAAGTCCTTAGTGCTACACTAAGTTTCTGAGGTTGGTCTTGAATTCGCAGTCCTCCTGCCTCAGCCTCCTAAGTCTCTGGATTATAGGTGTAAACCACCATTCCTGGCTAATTTTAAAATTTTTTATATGGGGAGAGATGAATTGGGATTCAGGAGAAGCTTAAATTTTATTATTTTTTTTAAATTTTCATTTTAAACGTTACTGTTATATTTCTGTTCAGACTGATTCGTTTTCTGTGGGAAATTAGAATTAATTGGTAGAAATGAGAAAAACTTACCATTAAATTGTAAGAAATTTGTTTATGTTCATGTATTAGGCTTATTTCTATTTCTTTTTGTTATTTGTTGCGGATACTAGTAGAGCAGGATAAAGGTTTTTAGTTGTGATACTGAATTCTGTTTCTCTTTCCTCTCTTTTGTTTTTATTCAGAGCCTGCAACTGGTGAAAGAAAAAATGAGTCTGCTGTTGCTGAGGCTGTTGCCAGGTAACCAGAACTGGTTGCTATTTAGAGGAGTTCAATATAAAGCTTCTGGTAATGAAGGGAAGATGATTTATCAACAGATATACAAACTTAACATGAAACTCCAGCATAGATTGAGGAATGTTTTGACTTGATCAGAGGCTTTCTTATTAATACTTTTTAAGTCCAAGACTTTGCTATTTAAGGCTTATTGTCCTAAAACTCAGTGTTTAGAGGACTTTGCTCTTATTCATGAGAGTGCGCCCCTCTTCCCCATTGTTCTTGCTTTTGGTGAGAAAATAGAGGACTGAACAAGAATGAACTGTGGACGTTGTTCCTTCTGCTCTTTTGTACTCATCCACAGGCCTTAGGCCTTTCTCTCTTCTTTCTGCCAAATTAACTACTATGTTGAGCTGTTATTTTTGCTTTGTCACGAATGCCGTAATGCTTTGAGGAAAGTGTTATCCCCTACTATGGTTTTCATGGTGAAGCTTTGCCATCTTGTGGCTGTGAGAGAATTGTTTCATTTATTTTTGACCAGAGTCATCCAGCATGAAAACATTAACAGTAGTTGGTTAAATAAGGGTCAGGTTTCTTAAATCAGAGGCTAGACAGGTACTTTAAATAAAATAGACTAGGTACAAGACTGTTGGAGTGTTGAGAATGGCAAACTGAATAGGTGCCCCATTTAAAACAGTATGTCCCTGTTCAATTATAGCCAGTGGTTGTTATTTGTGAATGCAGATTTACTATTGTCACATGTTTAAATTTTTTAAGGAAAAATCTGTGTGTGTGTGTGTGTGTGTGTGTGTGTGTGTGTGTGTGAGAGAGAGAGAGAGAGAGAGAGAGAGAGAGAGAGAGAGAGAGAATGAAAAGTAATCCTGAGGTTTCAAAGTTAGGCAGCAAACTGAACCATGGCTTTGAGGCTAACAGAGGGGGAGATAGATAGATAGATAGATAGATAAAATAGATTGGGATTGAATCCAGGGCACCCTACCACTAAACTATATCTCCCAGCCCTTTTTAAGTTTGTTTGCTTGCTTGTTTTTTAACTTTGAGACAGGGGTGTTGCTGAGTTGTCCAGGCTGGCCTCAGATTTGCTATTCTCCTGCCTCAGCCTCTAGAGTTGCTGGGATTACAGGCATTTACCACCATGTTTGACAGATATCTGGATTTTTAAAAATAAAATTTAATACTTGTCAGTATACTAAATTCAACCTTCATTTATGTTGACCCATCTCCAAATTCTTTGATCTATTCTTAGCCATGTCTTAGTTGCTCTCTGGACTTTTATATATTTAATCTGAATGAGCACCTATGTTTCTTATTTGGTAGAAAACTCCCCCCCCCCCATTTACTTTCCAGTGCTGAGGATCTAACTGAGGGCCATGTGCATGTTAAGCTAGTGCCCTACCACTGTGTAATACCCCCTGCCCAAAAGACCCATTAATGATATGTGGTCATAAAAGTTGAAGAAAGTGGCATTTGTATCTGGTCTCTTTGACTTTAGAATTGTGTGCCAGGCAATTGTTATTAGCCTGTATATGTACATTTTCAAAGGGGATAGAATGTAATGCTGAAGCTTTTGAACTCTTAGGGCATAATGTAAGGTGGAAAAAAAACCTTGAGCAGAGGGTTGGGATAGTAGATAATGGAATGAGATGAAATTCATTAGTATCTTTGTGAAGCAAATTTGGTATGTAAGAAAAATGTTTTTTAAAATTTTTGATCATTGATTTTTACCTTTGAGTTCACCATAAGAAGTCACTTAAAAGTAAGCTTTTTTTTTTTTTTTTTTTTAGAATATTATAACTGATCACTGCTTCCTTTGCATTTAGGTGAAACTTTTAAGTGTTACCTGTAACTGGACTGTATTCAAATTTCTTGGCATCACTGTATTTCTCAATCATGTTACAATGGAAAGTTTCAGGAGTAATAGAAACTAACAAAAATAGAAATATAAAGCATGACCATGTTTCAAAGATTGCCAACTTGTGGCCATTCTGTTTCATTTATGAATACTTCCAGCACCCCCTTCTGCACTGGATTATTTTGAAGATAATTCTAGCATTATGTCATTTTATCTGTAAATATTTTAATGCTATCTCTAAAACATAAGGGTTTTTATTTTAAAAAGTCAACCACATAATTGACAATGATTTCTTTTCTCTCTCTCTCTTTCTCTCTCTCTTTTTTTTTTTTTTTTTTTTTTTTGGTACTGGGGATTGAACTCAGGGGCACTTGACCACTAAGCTACATCCCCAGCCCTATTTTGTATTTTATTTAGAGAGGGTCTCACTGAGTTGCTTAGCACCTTGCTGTTGTTGAGACTGGCTTTGAACTCGTGATCCTCCTGTCTTATCCTTTTGAGCTCCTGGGATTATAGTCATGTACCACTAAGCCTGACTGACAGTGATTTCTTAGTGTCATCAAATATCCAGTGGTCAGATTTCTCTGCTCATTTTTTTTTTTTTACAGTTTGTGTCAAAATTGCATTTGATTGATATGTCTGAATGCTTTCTTAAAATTATATATTCCCCTCTCCATCTCTCACATTCTATAGTTTCTTACATTCTGGATTTTAATGTTCGCATCTTTATAGTATTTAATATAGTACTCTGTCTACCTTGTTTCCAGTGAATCTTACTTGAAAGTTTATTAGGCTACTTTGAAATATGATGAAGAATTTGCATTTTGGTGTTTGGAATGCAGGGAAGGGATTCCCTCTGCACTTAAAGGATAATCTCCAGAGGTACTTTTTCTTCCTAAACTAACACCATATATTGCTTTAATGTATTATCTTAGTCCCCAGAAGACCATGTCCGTGTTTAGCTGTATTTGTGAAGCCCGACAAGAGGATGAGACTGTGGGTGAGGATCCCACCTCTGTACCCATCAGGTAAAATTTATTTTCACAGCATTTTTGGGGGTATATCAATTTTGGTTGGTACCAAAATTCATATGTACTGCTACTGTTTTGTGAGCTTGAGCTTATTTTTTTTTTTAGTCTGAGGAACTAGGACATGTGGATTGAGTCATAAATGAGATGTTATGAGAAATTTTAGTAAATATTGTATAGATACAGATTTTATCTGCCAGTTGAATTAGTTCAAAATGACTCAGTCTTCATAAATTTGTTATTCTGTTCTGAGGTTTGTTTTTTTTTCTTAGCTGAAGAAATAATGTTTGCTTTTATCAGATTTTTATTCTCTTAGTTTCCTATAGGGCAACATATGAGATGCTTAATATCTCAAATTTAAAAAGTTTTTCAACCTTAATGAATTGATTTTTCCATAATTTCTTTATTTCATAACATTTTAGGGTACTCTGAAGCAAGAAAAAGCAAACAACAAAAAATCTCTTGAGTCAAAGTGTTTCTTTTCTATTTAAATTATTACAAAGTACCATGTTGGGAGTATATGATTCTTACATTTAGCATAGGGGAAAAAGAAATGGCAATGGAAGTAAACTTGTATTTTCATTATTAAGTAGTATCTTTCATCTCTAGAATTCATTGATTTTTATAACTAGATAATGTGATGATAATTTGTTAGTAGGTATATCCCTAATAGTGTATTGGTAGCATTTTTTCTGTGTTCTAGAAATAGTTAGAAGAGACATGTCAGTGCCTTTACTGGGTAATCTGATTATTAAATATGAGCTTGTTGATATTCTTAGGACTTCATTGGCCTTGATGGCAAGAAAATCAGAGCCTCTTTTGTGTTCAAAAAAAGACTCATTGTGTCAAATATCACTTTATTCTAAAAGTGGTATTATGGCCTAGCTTTTACTAAATTTATTGATGGCATTGTATCCTTTTTATTAGAGTGATTTTAAAATAGAGGGGCAAAGGGAAAAAGAAGAAAACTAACAAAAAAGTGTTAGGAACATTAACCTTTGGTAGAACAAGACATGGGAAGCAATCTGGATTTGATTGCAGTTGTTCTGTAGTCAGACCTATACACAGAACTGAATGGTTACAATTTTCTTAAAGTGGAGACTTATTTATTCTTCCCTGATTCACTTTGGATTAATTTTATCCAGGCTTTTTTCCTGCTAAAATTTGCTTTCTTAACATCTGTTTCCAAATCTTGGTATATAGTGACCAGAGTACAATCATGTAGCTGTAACTAATGGAGAAAGAAGTGTGTACTACTTATAATTTATTGGATTTCCTTGCTTATAAAGCTCTTTTCTGATGCCAAAGATTCTTCCTTTGGTGATTATTGGGACATTAATATCCATTTTCATGGTGGATTTTTCTTATGGCTTTGTTTTTAATCTAAAGATTTATAAACTTGGTAGGAGTGGGACAACACTTTTTGCAATATATATGTTGCAATTATGGCTTTTTTTTTTTTTTTAAGAAAAAAGAAAAAGTTAATTGCTTTGCTAGCAGAGGAGAAACACAGGGAACTCTTGTCCCAAAGGCTGTGATTCTGCCCATCATGGGGAAAGGGGTTTTTAAAGAGGTGATTCAGAGAAAATGAGATTAGGGAGGGGAGATCAGGGAAAAGAAGAGCAGGGAGGAGAAGAGCAGGAAGGAAGAGGTTAAGGAAAAGAAAATCAGGGAGGAAAAGGTCTGGGAGAAGAAGATTGGGAAAAAGAAGAAAACATGTAAGTTTCAAAGCCACAAGGAATATAGTCAAAGCATCAAGTGAACCCCTGTTACATTTCTCCACTGTCAATTTCTGGCTTCCATTTTGATGGAAAGTGGGTGATAATATCTCAAAGCTACTTCCTGGTGAAATGGGGTGAAGATGGGGGAAGTAACTCAAAGTCCTTGTTCTCTATCCTTGTTCTAGGTGGGATGTGGACAATTAAGGGCATTCAGCGTCAGAGTAGTTCATAGGTCTACAGTGGCAGATAGCCGGTGACTGGATAAGGCATACATAGAGGTAGGGATCATGCTAAGACAACAATAAAAATAGCAAAGCATTAATTTTTCTGTAAACAATTAGCACAAAAACAATTAGTATTTCAGCCAGTCTCTGAAAACCATGAGGACAGTAACTCAATCTTATCAGTGAAAAACAGATCAAGATCTTCAGTGTATAAGAGATTAGGAAGATTTGTAGGTCTATGAAATCAGATTCAAATTAACTCAGGACAGATTTGCAACTCTAGTGATCATTATTATTAGACACTCTCACACAAGAACCCTTCCTTCATAGCCTCCAGCTTAGATTCCTCAGAGATCACTCTTGGAGATGTGTGCGAAGCCTCTTGGCTCCTTTAGCTTTCCTCTACCAGTGGTGCCACCTGCCAGGATGGCTCAGGCTCTGGCTGACCACTTGTGGCTTCTCTTGAAAGTATCAGGGACATTTCTGTCTCCAGTGACCCTCCTCTTTGTAGAATGTACACTGATTGGCTTACTGTTCTCTAGAGTCCTCTCTACTAACCAGAGTTGCAGGGCCCAGAGAGGGGTCCCCTTTTTCTGTGTATCCTGGCTGACCTTAGAGGGCAAGGGCCAAAATGTTGGCTGCTTTTTCCTTAGCCATTTTACTTCCTTGACTTTGTCCCAAGTTTTTGGTTTTAAACACCCAGAAAGCAATTATTTTTTTTTTTTTGCCTCTGTTTTGTATTGCCCTTATTAATTTATCATCATGTCTTAGTCTCTTTGGGCTGCTGTTACAAGCTGTCATTACACTGGGTAACTTATGAACAACAGAAATTTCTTATTGTTTTGGAAAGTCTTAAAGCTTTGGCAAACTTGATGTCTGGTGAGAGCAAGGGCCTCACTTTCTGTGAGGAAGCTCTCTGAGGTCTCCTTTATAAGGGCATTCATGAGGGTTCTGCCCTCATGACCTTACTCAAAAAGGCCTTACCCCTGAATAAAATTACCTTGGGGGATAGAATTTAATTTATGAGTTTTGAGTGGACACAGATATGAGGTAAAATGTGTAATCTTACTCAAGGGTGGGAAGTAATGGTAATTGAAATCATTAATTGAATCCTGACCCTTTTGGCTTTTGACTTACCTTCATTTTTGCTTAACTAATGATATGTTAGATATCTTAAAGGTTTAAACATAAATATTCAATTCATATAGAAGGTGAATTGAGTCTCTTGTTTTTTTTTTTGGATACCAGGGATTGAACTCAGGGGCACTCAACCACTGAGCCACATCCCTAGCCCTATTTTGTATTTATTAGAGTCAGGGTCTCATTGAGTTGCTTAGCGCCTCGCTAAATTGCTGAGGATGGCTTTGAACTCACAATCCTCCTGCCTCTGCCTCCCGATTACAGGCATGAGCCACTGTACCCGGCAAATTGAATCTCTTTAATTGCTTTATTTTGTGCAACTAGTATTGGTTACATATCTATACAGTACTTTTTTATATATGATCATTTATAAGCCTTGTTAGAAGTAGGTGCTACTCATTATGAGTGTCTCTTCTTCATTGGAGCATAGATCCACATTCAGCTGAAGTTCCTGAGAGCACAGAAGTTTATTCCTTATCCTTCCTCAATCATCTATTATATTAAACTTAACTGAACAACATAGAAACCTTAGGAATGTTTTCTTTTCCTCATTCAAGATCCAGAGCAAAGCAAGCCCTAAAGAGCTATTCATGCATCCTTTATTCTTTCTACCTAGGTGAGTTCAGCTGCTAAGAATGAGAGCTGCTCCCAAATAGGAGAAAGCCCAAATTCGGTCTTTCTTTGGCCAAATACTTAAAGCAACAAACATACTTTGTGGTTTCTACAGTCTCAAGATTATCTTCAGGATTTTTTTCAGTTTATGCCTTATAAAATGTGATACCCCAAACTGAAACATATTCTAGATGTGATCTCAGCATGGTCAATTCCGAATGGATTTTTTAATCTTTATTCTGGCTATTTAAATGTTATATAGACTAAAAATGTACTAGTGTGTGTTTATTTAGTCTTTTTAAAAATTTTTAGTTGTAGATGGACATAATACCTTTATTTATTTTTATGTGGTGCTGAGGATTGAGTGCCTCATGTGTGCTAGGTGAGCGCTCTGCCGCTGTGCTACACCCTCAATCACTGTTTATTTAACCTTAAGTAGAGTTTTCAGCTTATTGATTCAGAGAATATTCATTCTTTTGTTCAGCCTACATGTATTAAGCACTCGTTTTGAGCTATGTGTTACATGTTTTAAATATAAAGATGAATAAGATGAATTTCTATGTAACCTCCTAATTTGGAGTTAGCCTGGGCCCTTTTTATTTTGGAGAATTGTTATGGACATTTAAATTCCTAGTCACTTTAGAAAGCATGATATTTAATTTATAAGAGACATTCCGCAAATGCTTGTGGAATAAATGAGCAAATCACTGATGCCTAAGTGGAAAGACTAATGAGAAGAAATGGACTATATCTTTGAGAACTATCTTTGAAATTTTATCTGTAAATATACCCATTTAGCTAGCAAAACCAGAATCTCACCAACAACTTTCTCCTTTAAAGATTGGATTTGATTTCTTAAAGTTATTAGCCAGGAGGAGATAAATGGTATCTGTAATGCTAGGTATCAGTTAAGGAATCTTAGACCTATTCATTAACAAATGAGACATCTTAACCTAGTTGATTTTATTTTTTTTTTTTTGAAGTAGAACTCTAAGCTGACTTGTATTGTCTGTGACTTCAGTGATGTCTCTACATCTTAATTTTCACCTTATTTTCCTGCATTAGGTTTTAGTGGTCATAACTACTGTTAGGAAGAAATGATATGACCATTTTAGCCTCATGATGGAATGGTCCTGCTACCATTACTTGTTCATAGGAATGCAGTTATGATGGGCCTCACAAAGTGATGTGCTTGGCCATAGTATTTCTCTCATCCTTGTGTTACTAAAATTGTCTGAGTTCCCCATTGCCACTATACATTCTCTGTTTCTCTTTTGTTCTCTGTCTTATTTGACACAACATCCTGGTTCACTTCATCCATTTTCTGTTGCTAATAACATAGTACACAGTGTGGGTAGGTTATAAAGAAAGGAGGTTTATTTGGATCATACATACTTCTGTTCCTAAGTCAAGGGGCTGCATCTGGTCGTGGCCTTGCTGTCAAGAGTCTCATGATAGGGCAGGGCATTACATTATAAAAGAGAGGGAGTTGCATGTATTAGCTCAGGTCTCTATCCTTATAAGGCTACCACTATTTACTTGTGTGGAACCTACCCCTATGACCTTATCTATTCTTAATTATCTCTCAAGTCCCACCTCTAAAATGTGATAGTTGGATTAAGTTTCAACCCTCTTAATCCCATATGACCACATGAGTTTAAAAGGGAAGGAACCATGTGCACACCACAACACATTGTTTTAATTTTAGGGGGAACTTACTCCATTTTCCAAGTACTCAAGAAGAAGAGGAGAAAGAAAAATTGGAAGTTGATCAAAGGATCAGGCAGAGTGAACAGCCTATGAAGCCCATCAGTCCTGTTGAGGATTCTGCCTCTCTTGCCTCACATCAGAGGATCACACAGGGGCCATCCAGCCCTCAAGAAGAAGCGATGGAGTTGGATGTACAAGAAGTCCAGAAAGGACAGAATACCAATCAGGAAAAATCTAGTAAGGCCTTGATTGAAAGGCCTACCCAAAATAATATAGGAATCCAGACCATGGAACATTCTCTGTGGGTCCCAGAAACAGTTTCAGCTGCAACCCAGACAGTAAAGAATGTATGTGAGCAGGGGACCAGTACTGTGGATCAGACCTCTGGAAAACAAGATGCCACCGTGCAGACTGAGAGGGGAAGTGGTGAGAAACCAGTCAGTGCTTCTGGGGATGATACAGAGTCGCTCCATAGCCAGGTGAGAGCATACCAGAATACTTCAGATGCCTTGCTTTTGACTGAATACTCAGAGAATTTAAGTTGTAACACTTCTTCCTAATGACAACTCTTAGAAGTTTTGTATAGTTTTGTTCAAAGAAAAGCAGCTTATCCAGGATAGAGTTAGGGTGGTGAAAATTATAGTTAACTCTACAGTGGGTATTGTTTTAGGGAAAGTGGACTAGTGCTAGAGTTTGTCAAATAGGCCTTTAGTGGAATAGAAAGCAAGGATACAGTCTGGGTCCTACAATTTTCTCCACAGTCTTTTCCTTCTGTTTTCATTTCACATCCTTTGTTCTAATTATTAGAACTAATTAATTATCTCTCCTCTAAATCTGTTTCACCAGCATTTCCAGGAATTCAGACAGTAGAAAATAAAGTGTATCACAGTAATGGAATCAGAAAGAATAGTGACAGGCATAGAGAGATAGGGAAGGGTCCAAAGTAACTGGGAACTAAAGGAAAGAGGCTAAGACTAGAGACAATGGGATTGATGAAAGTGAGGTTAGAGGAAGAACAGGTTCCTAGGATAGTGTAGGGAACTGTGAGTACTAGTAAAAATTGAGTAGGTGAGAGGATAAGAGTAGTAGAAATGTGTTAACAATAGAAGTTCATAAAGTTCAGTTGGCATTGCTTTTTATCTAAAGAACAGTTGGAACTGTAAATTTATATGTTAATTAATAAGGCATCATCAAAATGAGAAGGATTATAATCTAAGAATAATGTACTTTTAAGTATCAAAATTTTCTTAAATACCCGTAGACATAAGCAATATTAGGTCATTTCACATCAAGGCATGCTGACACATGTCTTTCTAGTGTCTGACTATATAGCTGGTCCATTTTCTGACTTATCTATAGATGAATAGAAAGCAAAGCAGCTGGAAAGTTTCATCATGTTAGATTCATGAATCCTCTGAACAGCACTCATCATTAAGAAGTTGATTTGTGATTCTGGCATTTACCGTTAGACCTGTGCTCGTGTTCTGTATCTGTCATAGGGGGAAGAAGAGTTTGATATGCCTCAGCCTCCACATGGCCATGTCTTGCATCGCCACTTGAGAACAATCCGTGAAGTGCGTACAGTTGTCACCCGTGTCATCACAGATGTATATTATGTGGATGGAACAGAAGTAGAAAGAAAAGTTACTGAGGTAATACCCTGGGTCTGTGTGGCAAGTTTCTTTGTATTGAAAACTTATCTTGCACACCCCTTTACCTGTGCCACTAGTTCTAATACTTGGTTTTCCTCCTTCTCTTCCTCCTTTTCCTCTCCTCCTCCTCCTCATTATTATTATTATTATTATTATAAAAGATATAAGAATTGGGTTCAAAAAGAAAAATTATTTGTTTTCTTCAAGCATGGCTTACTCTTTTTTATCTTTGGTCAGTCCCATCAGGTTTTTCCTTTTCTGTAAAAAACAGGTTGATAAATCTCTAAATCTTTCATGTATACAGATTTTATGTATCAGGTGCTGGGATTGTGGCTCAGTGGTAGAGTGCTCGCCTAGCATGCATGAGGCACTGGGTTCGATCCTCAGCATCACATAAAAACAAAATAATGTGTTCACCTAAAACTAAAAAAATACATAAATAAATATTTTTAAAAAAGATTTTATGTATCATTTTAAATCTTTCGAAACTCAGATGAAGCTTAGAATTCCCTTTTTAGATGCATGTGTTTCTTTGTTGTTGTGTTTTTTTAAAATTTTTTTTATTATACATAGATACAATATCTTTATTTTGTTTATATATTTTTATGTGGTGCTGAGGATCAAACCCAGTGCCTCACATGTGTGAGTCAAGTGCTCTGCCACTGAGCTACAATCCCAGCCCCTCCTTGTTGTTTTTTATGTCTAGTCATTATATTCTTTTTTGGTCTCTATCTGTGTATTGTCATAGGTCATGGACTTGTTGGTAAGAGATGCACCTTAGTTTTTCAGTGAGATTCATTATGGACTCAATAATATGTCAGCGCATAATATTGGCATTTATTGACTTGTTAATGAACAATGTCATTTATTGACTTAATTTAGATTTAATATTGGCTGAGATTAGATAGATTTTCTAAAGATCTGAGATTTTTGTTGGTACATAGGGTAGTATGTGGAACTATTTTATTAATTGATAAGAGGCACAACTATTATCTTCCTCCTTTTTTATCTCCTTTATCCAGACATTTTTCTGTAATGATAATAATAACCCTATTTAACCCTACATCGTGGCATAATTGTGAGCTAACCATGTAGAAAGTTGTGCTTAGGAAGAATTAAACTCTGGTATATATGTTTCTTAAACGGAACATTCCTATTGTTCAGTAATATACAATTGTGGTCCTCATGTTAGATAACATTTGACATCAATTTGAGAAATTGTCTTTTATTCTTCATCATATACAGATTCTCAAAAATATTAAAAAATATTGATTTATCTTCTTTTTTTCTTTTCAATGCTGGGCATGGAACTCAGAGCTTCATGCACTGAGCTACATCCCCAGCTTTTTTTTAAATTTTGAGACTGAGTCTTGTTAATTTCCTAGGGCCTCAAATTTGTAATCCTCTGGCTCAGGCTCCCAAGCAGCTGGGGATTATAGGCATGTGCCACCATACTTGGCTCAACTTTATTTTTAAATATTTATTTTTTAGAAGTAGTTGGACACAATACATTTATTTTTATTTATTTTTATGTGGTGCTGAGGATCGAACCCAGGGCCTTACATGTGCTAGATGAGTACTATAGCTGAGCCACAACCCCAGCCCCATTAAATATTTTTTAAAGCATTTTTGTTCATGGAATTTTTTTTTTAAGATTTTTTTTTAAGTTGATGATAGACCTTTATTTAATTAATTTATTTATTTGTGGTGCTGAGAATCGAACCCAGTCAAGTGCTGGAGCCACAACCCCAGCCCTGTTCATGGAATTTTTTATGTCATGATTTTGGGGAATTTATGAACTCAATAGTTTTATCGAAAAATAATTTGCCTTCGTGAAAAATTGAAACTGCTGTCGTCCACATTAGTATAATATATCTGTGTCAGATATACTGTATTTTATATACACAGTATATACAATATACTGTATACATGGTAATACATATATACACACACACAGTATATTAAATAGAATATATTATATTGTGTATATGTATAGTATATACAGTAATATATAATATGTTGTGTATTTGTTGTGTATATAACACTATATTGTTATACTTAGTACTTCATTTAGTATTTATTCTGATACTTTCTAAAGTATATATTTCTGGAAACAATAGTACTGTTAGATAGTCTAGAGGGAAGAGTTTCATGGTCATGAATAAGTGTAAGATACCAAATGTTATTCAACCCTATCACTACCACCATCGTCATAGAAATTCACATATAATCACATTTAAGGTTCTGAGAAGAATTCTGGTAAATATGGCTATTTTAGTCTGTTTAACCCAGTACTTCCTGAAGTTATTTTTCTTAGAACATATATTAAGATAATGCCTAGTATATGCCTATGGAGTATGGTTTGTTAAACACTAATTAAATAAAATAATAATAAAGACTAATCTTTAAATAATAACTTTAATATTTACTGACATAACATTTGTTATGTACCAGGGATTATTATAAGAACTTTAGTGAACTAACTTATTTAATTCTCAAAATTTTGCTGTGAGCCGGGCATAATCCCTACGGTGCATTATGTACCACCATAATCCCTGCAGCTCAGGAGGCTGAGGGGGGGGGGATTGCAGGTTCAAAGGTTCAAAGCCAGCCTCAGCAATTTAGTGAGGCCCTAAGCAACTGAGTAAGACCCTGTCTCAAGATATAAGGGCTGGGGTTGTAGCTCAGTGTGTGAGGCATTGTGTTTGATTCTCAGCAGTGCATATAAATAAATGAATAAAATAAAGTCCATCAACATTAAAAAAAATTGAAAAAAAAGGGGCTGGGATTCAACTCAGTGCTTAAGCACCCCTGGGTTCAATCCCTGATACCCCCCCTCCAAAAAAAATGCTGTAAGATAAGATAGGGTTATTATTATCATTTTGTAGATGAGGACACAGAGGCATAAGAAGTTAAAATATTGACTAAAGTTTTGTAGAGCCAATAGAAGAATGAGTATTCAATTCAGGCGGTATAATTTCAGAGCTTGTGTTCCCAATCTCTACATTATGCTGCCTTTGAAGACAAAAGGTGATATGTGCCAAAAGAAAGGCACATATCATGGTAGTTCTAAGGAGGAATAAATTCATTGGAAGATAATTTTGTTTAAGTCTTTTTGGGTGAGAAAAAATATTTTGAGATGGACATTAAAGATTTTAGATATTGGGAGATAGGAGGAAAGGGCTTGGTGAGCAGAGGCACAGAGCCAGAAAGCAAAGAGCATACAGAAACAGTTGGTGGGCAGCACATAACAGACGTGTGTGGGGTGGACAGGGATTCGGGCATAGAACTCTGGGGAATACTCCTAGGTGTAAAACTATTCATGTTCTGGGAAGGAGAGAAAACATAACAATGAAGAACTTTGCTTTCTATCATCTCTTACAGCTCTTATTTCTTTCGTCATCTTTTGAAGATTTTTTTCCTGTATTTGCCAGCAGTTTCCTAGTACTGTGGCAGACACTGGGACTGTGAAGATGAAGAGATAATGTTCCTGATCTGTAGGCACTTACAGTTGACATGCAACAAGTCCAGAACTTGTTGATTGCTGTAGTAGAAGGGTTGGAGGATATGCTAGAAATAAGGGATGGAGCCTACAAGCCTATCTGAGGAGGTTGAAAGGCCTCACAGAAGATATAGTGTTCAGAGGAGTATGGCAGATAACACTAAGAGGTAGGGTAGGAGGATATTCCAAACAGAATGCAAAGTAGATGCAATGCTGGATTATTATTTTTACTCTCAGTGACAAAAACATGTTTGGTAAGGAAGGCTGAGTAAAGGTACTGTTGAGATTGGTAACGGCCTAGGGCCTAGTTTTTTATATGTCATAGAAAAGAGGATAGATTTTTTAGAAGTATTTTTATTAGTTGTTGATGAGCTTTTTAATTTTATTTGTTTGTATGTGGTGCTGAGAATCAAACCCAGTGCCTCACACATGCTAGGCAAGTGCTCTACCACTGAGCCACAATCCTAGCCCAAGAGGGTAGATTTTTTGTCTCCTGTGTTATGGGAATCATTTAAAAGTTTTTGGGAGAAGGAGTTACATGCTCAGATTTGCATGTTGGAAGTGTCAGATTGGTGACAGGATGACAGTGAATTGCAGTGGGTTGAGATTAGAGGCATAATTTAGGAAAGAGATAATGAATGTCAAGGTAGTACTGAAGGCAGTAAGGGCTGAGAGGAGAGAATAGCTGCAAGAAATATATAAAGGGAAAAATTGATAGACCCTTGTGAACTCCTGAATGTGAAGATTTAGGCAAAAGGAGCAATCTAATATGACGCTGAGTAGCTACATAGATGGTGGTACTGTGAACTGAGACAGAGAAAATAAGTAGGCTTCTGGTTTGCAAGACAAGATCCTTCATTCAGTAAACATTCACTGAGGGCCTCATTTATGACAGGCACTGTACTCTATTTTGGTATTATATCCAGAGAAGATGGTTAAGATTTCTGTCTTCATATAGCATATGGGGCAATACACAGGAAAATAAGTGAACATATTCACTTTTGGATTGATGCAGTAAGATGTAAATCATAGCAATTTTGTTAAATAAATCATTTTTAAAAATAGTTTCAGGTAGACACACAATACCTTTATTTGATTTATTTTTATGTGGTGCTGAGGATTGAACCCAGTGCCTTACACATGCTAGGCAAGTGCTGTACCACTGCGCCACAACCCCAGCCCTAAATAAATCACTTTAAACTGGGGGAAAAAAAATAAAGCCATAACAGGCTAACTTAGAACTTTGGCTCCAATCATTATAAGAGTAGGAGCCTCTATTGTTGTAAAGGCAGTTTGGCTGGCTATTGATTTTTAGACCTGCTGTAAACTGAGATATAGCCTGAGACCCCTACTTATTTGCCATGTCTGAGAAAATAAATCATCTTACATTCTGGACTCATGACACCTACTTTAGTTAAGTGATCTTGGCAGATTGTACTAACTTGGATCCAGTTAGAGCCAGAAAGTTGGATAATAGGAGATAGTAATTGGAGAGTGGCTTCTTTGTAGTTGAGACTTTGGGGGTGTATAATAAGAACCTATAAGTAGATGCTGAGGTCAAGTAGAGGAAAAGGATAATGATGGTAATTAGTTCAAAAAACTAGGAAGTTGCTGTGAGTCATCTAATGGATGTGAGCCATTGAGAAGATGATAGAAGCAGAGATGGGGAAGGCAGGAGGGCTGTGAACCAGTAGTTAAGGTCATCATGTGAGAGTGATTGGAAGGATACTAGTAGATAATAGAGGAAGGGGAGAAGATGGTTGAAAAGAAGAGTGGTTTGGTAGGAGTATGAGGTTGGGAAATAGAAATGGTATTTATATTAATAGTATTTATGTAGCAGGGAAGTCTTACCCTTTTAAAACTCTTTTATGGAAGTTTGGTTGAAAAAAATCTTCCTTCACTAGATAGAGCTGCTGGGGATGTGATAAGCACTGTGGATATCTAGGATTCATTCATTGAGGCAAGGAAATAAGAGACAGGTTCATAGTTTTGAATGTGTTAGATTTCAGGTGTCCGGTACATCCAAGGGGAAGAATTTGGTAGGTGTTTGTGTCTCAATTAAATGCCAGTAATTTAATTGAGTTTGTACTGTTAGATCTCAGGGGTGAGTGTAGTAAACCTACCTAGGGAAAGCATATAAGAATGAGGAAAGAAATGAGAACAGAATCCTGGAAAATACCAGTTTTAAAGGCAGAGATAAAGGAGCCCCAGAAGAAGCATAAAAAGGAGTAGCCAAAACAAGACTCCTAAAGTGCAAGAAATAAAATCAAGAATTAATAAATGTGATGGACTCAAACTAAAAGCTTCTTTTCAGCAAAAGAAACGAATCAATGAGGGCTAGGGATGTGGCTCAAGCAGTAGCGCGTTCACCTAGCATGCATGCGGCCCGGGTTCGATCCTTAGCACCACATACAAAGATGTGTCCGCTGAAAACTAAAAAAAAAAAATATTAAAAAAAATTCTCACTCTCTCTCAAAAAAAAAAAAAAAAAGTAAAAAGAGCAGTTTCTTTCTTAATGTAGTATTAGGATACTTAACACTAAATACTTCCACTTCTATGGAACTTAAAAAAAAAAAAAACAAACAATGAGGTGAAGAGAGAGCCTACATTTTGAGAGCAAATTTTTGCCACATGTCAGATAGAGCACTAATCTCCAGGATCTATAAAGAACTCAAAAAACTTCACACACACAAGAAACAAACAACCCAATCAATAAATGGACTACGGAGCTGAACAGACATTTCTCAGAAGAAGATGTATATTTGACCAGTAAATATATGAAAAAATGTTCATCATCTCTAGCAATTAGAGAAATGCAAACCAAGAAGCATAAAAAGGAGTAGTCAAAACAAGACTCCTAAAGTGCAAGAAATAAAATCAAGAATTAATAAATGTGATGGACTCACACTAAAAAGCTTCTTCTCAGCAAAAGAAAGAAACAGTGAGGTGAAGAGAGAGCCTACATTTTGAGAGCAAATTTTTGCCACATGTCAGATAGAGCACTAATCTCCAGGATCTATAAAGAACTCAAAAAACTTCACACCCACAAGAAACAAACAACCCAATCAATAAATGGGCTACGAAGCTGAACAGACATTTCTCAGAAGAAGATGTATATTCGATCAGTAAATATATGAAACAATGTTCATCATCTCTAGCAATTAGAGAAATGCAAATCAAAACTACTCTAAGATTTCATCTTTACTCCAGTCAGGATGGCAGCTATCAAGAATACAAACAATAATAAGTGTTGGCAAGGATGTGGGGGAAAAGGCACACTCATACATTTTAGTGGGACTGCAATTTGGTGTAACCACTCTGATAAGCAGTATGCAGATTCCTTAGAAAACTTGGAATGGAACCACCATTTGACCCAGATATCCCACTCCTCAGTCTGTACCCTAAGGACTTAAAATCAGCATACTATAGTAACATAGCCACATCAATGTTTATAGCAGCTCAATTCACAGTAGCTATACTGTGGAACCAACCTAGATGCCCTTCAATAGATGAATGGATAAAGAAACTGTGGTATATATACAAATGGAATATTACTCAGCATTAAAAGAGAATAAAATTATGGCATTTGCAGATAAGTGTATGGAGTTGGAGGAGGAAAATATCATGCTAAGTGAAGTAAGCCAATCCCAAAAAAACCAAAGGCCAAATTTTCTCTGTGATATGTGGATGCTGATCCATAATGGGGCAGGGCATAGGAAAAATGGAGGAACTTTGGGCAAAGGGAAGGGAGGGTTGGGTAGGGACCATGGGGGCAGGAAAGATGGTGGAATGAGATGAATATCATTACCCTAGGTACATATATGGTGCGATGCTACATCATGTACAACCAGAGAAATGAAAAAGTTGTGCTGCAATTGTGTACCATGAATCAAAATGCATTCTGCTGTCATATATTTTTTAAAAATGCATTCTACTGTCATGTATAACTAATTAGAGCAAATAAAAAAAAAAGAAATGCAAAAAATAAAAAAGAAAAGGAGTAGCCAAAGAGGTAGGATAAAAAAAAAAAGAGAATTATGTTATGGATTTTAAAGAAGGGAGACGTAAAAAATAATAATTTCATAGGATTAGCTAAGTGTATGTATGTGTGTACATTGCATATTGTCTTCCCAGAGAGACTGTAAACTTGTTGATGGAAGGGTCATATTATACTTCTCTGTATCCTTTCTGACATTTAACACAGTGTCATGTGAACAGCCTACACTCAATGGCAGATGTTGTAACCTGTATGCTGTAATTTCTTTATTGTGTGCCTATAGGGGACATTGCTGATTGGTCCTTTGAACCCTGGGGTTTAGCCTCAGAAGGCTTAAAACTAGGCTCTATGCAGCCACTACCAGCCCATTAAAGTGGGAATGTGAGATGAAGCCAAATTGACATTCTTTGTTCCCCTCGTACTGAAAACTCAGAGATTGATTACAATCATTTCGGTCTTCATTTTTCCTACAGTGATAACCATTTTTTGTCCATTTTTTTGCTATAATTGTCTGCTTCCTTGATCACTTATTGAAAGGTAATATAGAAAAATCATGTTAAAAAGTGTGTAATTAATGCTGCCCACTGTTTGTGTTTGTTTGGATTTTTTTTAGTTGTAGATGGACACAATACATTTATTTTATTTATTTTTTTAATGTGGTGCTGAGGATTGAATCCAGTGTCTCACACGTGCTAGGCAAGCACTCTACCACCGAGCTACAACTCCAGCCCCTGCCCACTGTTAGTGAAATACTTGGAAGGACTCCTAATGACCCATTTTCTCCTCTAACCTACCTACCTACCTCCTTGCTTTTCTTCACTAAGGAAATTACCACTGTCTTCTAGGTTAGAATTTTTGCTAGGCACAAAAGGTTGCAAACTTTTCCAATAAAAAGATAACAGCTCAGTATAAAGGTTTCTTTCTTATTATTATTTGCTATCTTTACTTTTTATTGAGATTTCATATATACCCAGTAAAATGAACAGATCCTAAGCATTGAGGGACCTTTGATTTTTTTTTTTTTTTTTTTTCCCCTTAGAGACAGGATCTTGCTAAGGAGTTAGATGCCCAGGCTAGCCTGAAACTTGCAGTCCTCCTCCTTTAGCCTTCCAAGTATCTGAGATTTCAGGAGTTCTGACAATTTTATGTAACTACTACTCAAAATAGATACAGAACATTTCTATTATTTCAGAAAGTTCCCTCCTGATTTTCACTTTTCTGAATTGAAATTTCTTGCTATCTCTAGGATTTTCAAACCATCACATTGGCACTGTTACTCTGCTTTCTTTTAGCTTTTGTATCCATTTCTTCTCTGCAGGAGACTGAAGAACCAATTGTAGAGTGTCAGGAGTGTGAAACTGAAGTTTCCCCTTCACAGACTGGGGGTTCCTCAGGTGATCTGGGGGATATCAGCTCCTTCTCCTCAAAGGCATCCAGTTTACACCGCACGTCAAGTGGGACAAGTCTTTCAGCCATGCACAGCAGTGGCAGTTCAGGGAGAGGAGCCGGACCACTCAAAGGAAAAACCAGTGGGACAGAACCTGCAGATTTTGCCTTACCCAGCTCTCGAGGAGGCCCAGGAAAACTGAGGTGCAGACAGGGTCTCCCAAGAGAGAGTCACAGCAGGGGCAGGGTTACTGACATTCTAATATCACAAGAAAAGGGGAGTAATGGGAAATCCCTGTCTTCCATTTAGGATGAATTGACTTCATCTCCATTTATTCCTTTTCTATTTGGGGTTGGTATGGGAGGAGCCCTGGGGAAAGTAGATTTTGTTGGCAAAGAAGCCCTTGAGAAAATGTAGAAAACAGGTGAGGGAACTTTGGGAATGCTGGGCAGTTGCTTCTACCACCCCTGATTCTGCAGCCTACCCACATTTTGGTTGGGAAAACAGGAAGTTTGGGATGGTGGCCCCACTTGATGTATCTCTTAGCTTTTTTTTTTTTTTTTTTTTTTTTATCCTTTGAAGGGCAGAAATGGGTGTGCTGGTTTTAAGGCCAGCAGTAGGAAGTTTTGTCAGGAGGGGGTAGACATTCATACAGGAAGATGTCCTTCATTTGTTATCTCATACTTTGAACTCTCTGGCTGAGATTTTGGTGGTGGATGTGTGAACCACCTTTCTGCTGTCCTAGCACATGTAGATTGGTTGGAGGGCCACGGGGAGACTATGAAGGAGGATCCAGTAGCAGGTACTGTCAGACTAACCTGTCTTCATTCTCTAGTCCTAGAAAAGGGGTCAGTCAGACAGGGGCGCCGGTGTGTGAGGAGGATGGTGATGCAGGCCTTGGCATCAGACAGGGAGGGAAAGCTCCAGTCACGCCACGTGGGCGCGGGCGAAGGGGCCGCCCACCTTCTCGGACTACTGGAACCAGGTACCTGGGTAGTGTGAGATAAATTTAGTCTGTGACTTGTTCAGAAAATAATAGGAATAGAGAGAACAGATGGGAGTAGAGAGTGTGTGGGGTATTCAGAGGGAGAAGAGGGTCCCATGCTGACTGTGAAGTGGGCAGAGTGAGACCATGAGAGCCCAGGTGTACTTATGCCTGTGATAAGGTTAATAAAGAATGGGCTACCCAGAACCATAGATAAAGGAGTGGGGAAATTGGTAGATATGAACTTCTGTCTTATATTCACTGCCTTTTTCTGTCTCTTTTATCTCTTTAGAGAAACAGTTGTGCCTGGCCCATTGGGCATAGAGGACATTTCTCCCAGCATGTCACCAGATGATAAATCCTTCACCCGAATTGTGCCCCGTGTGCCAGATTCTACGAGACGTGCAGACCTGGGTGCTAGCGCTTTGCGTCGTAGTGATTCTCCAGAGATTCCTTTCCAGGCTGCTACTGGCTCCTCTGATGGCTTAGATGCATCCTCTCCAGGGAACAGCTTTGTAGGGCTCCGTGTTGTAGCCAAGTGGTCATCCAATGGCTATTTTTACTCTGGGAAAATCACACGAGATGTTGGAGCTGGGAAGTATAAATTGCTCTTTGATGATGGGTACGAGTGTGATGTGTTGGGCAAAGACATTCTTTTGTGTGACCCCATCCCGCTTGATACTGAAGTGACGGCTCTCTCGGAGGATGAGTATTTCAGTGCAGGTAATAAACTAGATCTACAGATCTAGTTCTGTAGAGATTGTGCCCTAAGACTGTCTATATGCTATTGTGTCTGTAATTACCAAGACATCTCCTTCAGCCTATTTCCTTTTCTAGGATCTCTAGTCAGAGATTCCATTACTATGAAACAGTTTATTCTTACCACTTGGTTTTTTGTTTGTTGCATTTTTTAAATAAACTTTTTGGAATAATTTTAGAGAAAAAATGCAACGTACAGAATGCTGATAGCACAAAGTTCCTGTGTACCCTCTATCCAGCTTCTTTATTGTTAGCATCTTAAATTGGCATGACACATTTGTCAGAAACTAATGTTAGTTCCATACTATTAACTAAACTCCACACTTTACATGGTTTTCACCAGCTTTTCTTTCATGTCCTTTTTCTGTTTCAGGATTTAATCCAGGATATCACATTATTTTTAGCTGTCATGTTTTCCTTTGTTCACATCTGATTTGTGGCAATGTCTGTCTTGTTTTTCATGACCTTGACAGTTTTGAGAGTACTAGACGGGTATTTTATAGAATGTTCCCCAGTTTGGGTTGTCTAATATTTTCTCATTAGCCTGAAGTTATAGGTTTTTTTGTTTGTTTATTTTGGTACTGGGAATTGAACCCAGGCACTTTACCACTCAGTTACATCTCCAGTCCTTTTTATTTTTTTATTTATTTGGAGACAAGGTCTTTCTAAGTTATTGAGGCCTTGCTAAGTTGCCAGTGTTGGCCTTGAACTGGTGATCCTCCTGTTTCAGCCTTCTGGGACACTGGGATTATAGACAACGCACTATGATACCTTGCTTAGTTACGGGTTTTTTATAAGAATGTTAAAGAGCTGAAGTACCCTTTCACCATATCATATGGGAGCCAAGGGAGATATATGACATCACTGGTGATGTTAATCTGTATCACTGGTTATGGTGACATTTGTCAGAGTTCTGCACTTTCAGTATTAGTGTTTTTCATTTCCATATTCTGTTCTTTCACCACTGACTTTTAAACTTGCTACTTGTTTTGATAGGAACTTGGTAGGTGAGTGTGGCAAGTACATTCAGATCTTTTAACCCAGGAAGAGGTTGTTAGTGCTTCGTTTGCATGCTTGACTTCAACTGCTGTTTGGTATTTGAAGAATGGTGCTGCTTCTTATTTTTGTAGAAGCCAATATTATTGATGGTGAGGGATTTGAGTGTGTGTTTACTATTCCACGAGCTAAGTTTTGAATATATTGGCTTCTCTGAACTAATTTGGGGATGCTTGTTTTTTTTTTTTTTTTTTTTTTTTTTTCATTTAAAAACATCCTGACTGAGGATTTTCTTGACATGGATTGGGATATAATGGGGAAAGCTGTCTTTCTGTTGCAGTCTTCCGAGCTCTCTCATATTTGGAATTCCCTGAGTATTTGCTGTTTGGCTCTTTATTTGTGTTAATTTTGGATAACATCATCAGCTGTATGAGGCATCAATTAGGAGCATCACATAGATTGGGGGTCTTTTATGATCTTTGATTCACAGTATGGATCAAATGCATTTTTGTTCTTTGAAGGACAAAGCCCCTGTTAGGAGCTCACTTTTGGCCCTTTTAAGACAAATTCAATTTAGTATCCATAGTGAATAATGGCAGTAAGGGGTAGGGACTCTGTTCCATTTATTGAGTCTGTCTTCTATTGTCAACACTAGATTGCTTCTAGTAGTAGTAGTTCTCCATTAGTGTTAAATGTATTTTTGGCCTTGGGCTTCTTTGTCTTTTTGAGTTGATCTCTGTGACTTAGTTTGGTGATAGAGATTGAAGCTAGGAGATGAATAAACAAGGGGAATGATTCTGTGGAACAGATAGGAAAGAACCAAGGCCTGCTTTCTTCTCTGTACTTTTTTCCTTGGTGAGATTCTGGTTTCTTAAACACAAGTTAATAGGAGAGAAAAAAAATTGTTTATAGGAGTGAAAAATGTTAACAGTAAGTCCTTGTTGTTTTTTTTTTTTTTTTTTTTTTGTCTTTTGTACTGGAGATTGAATCCAGGGGCACTTTACCACTGAGCCATGTTCTCATCCCTTTTTTTTTTTTTTTAAATTTTAAGCCAGGTAGCCTAGCTAAGTACTGAGGCTGGCTTGGAACTTAAAATCCTTCTGCCTCAGCCTCCTGAGTAGCTGGGGTTACAGGCTTGTACTACTACACCTGGCTCAATAATGCCTTGTTTTTGTTTTATATGTGGTATGTATATGCTGTAGATTGTTGATTGATAGAGGGGAAGAGGTATTTGTAACATAATTGGAAATAGGCCTTACCTAATATCACACAGCAAAATTAGACCTAGGCTCAGGTCTGCTTGAATTCTAGTCCTTTTTCCTTTTATGCCCCATATTGTGTACCCCAAACCTAAGGACCTTATATTCAGGTTCTGAATCAGAGCAAGAACAGGAAAGTAGTTAACGGGGAGGAAAACTTAGGTAGAAGAAAGAGGATTTACTTTTTTCTTTTCTTTACTCTGTATCTCTATTCTGATTTTGCTACACAGCAAACACACACTTACACATGCTTTTTTTACAACAATGTCATTTTTCTGTTTTCTTTTTCTTGTACTGTAGATTGAATCCAGGGGTGCTTATTCACTGAGCTATATCTCCGATCCTTTTTATTTTTTATTTTAATACTCTCTCTCTAAGTTGCTTATTAGGTCCTTGCTACGTTGCTGAGACTGGCTTTAAACTTGTGATCCTCCTGTCTCGGCCTCCCTAGTCACTGGGATTATAGGCCTTCACCACTGCAAAGCTTATTTTTCATCTACAACTTAACAAATAAGACATAACCACTTAGCTTCCAAAGAAACCATAATGGAAAGGTTTAGTAAGTTATAAGTTAAGAAACTGCATGCCATTTCACTTGAAGGGAACCATTTGAACCACTAACAATCCATAAAAGTGGCCTCAAGAAGCTTCAGTTTATTTCATAACTGAAATTTTTCTTAATCCTATAGTAGTAGCTAAGTATGTCCTAAGTGTTACTGTTTGGAATTCACAACTAGAATTCTGTTAAATCTTAACATTGAGTCACTATTGGATCTCTGAGTTCCCTGACTCAGGCCTGCCTTGCCTTTTGAGAAGATGCTAAGCAGCTCAAAACAACATCAGGCTTCTTTTATATTTTTACCCTCCAGGAGTGGTGAAAGGGCATAGGAAGGAGTCTGGGGAGCTGTACTACAGCATTGAAAAAGAAGGCCAAAGGAAGTGGTATAAGCGAATGGCTGTCATCCTGTCCTTGGAGCAAGGAAACAGGCTTAGAGAGCAATATGGACTTGGCCCATATGAGGCAGTGACACCTCTCACAAAGGCAGCAGACATCAGTTTAGGTAAGACCTTTGCTTTTTGAACAACTGCCTGTGGGACCTTTGCACTGCTTAAAGAGGGAGGAGTGGTTTAGAGCCATCAGCCGTGTTACTTTAACTTCTTTCAGTATGTGGCTTATCAGATGGTGATGAGCTCTCATTTCCTGGAGAACTATTCCCTCATCTGTTTCCTTCCCAGTACCAAATAGTCCTTAGGTTTTTCTGGTCTCCCAGTTGTATAGGGGATGAAACACATCTCAGTCATGACAAAGACTGAACAGGAAATAAGATGGCCTTAAAAAAGAGGCTTCCTGCCTCTTTTGGAGGTGGGGAAGAGGCTCTTTGGCATCTAAACCAGGTTCTTCTCAGGTTCTTGGAATTCAGGCCTAGACCACTTGATTTGACTGATCTTTGGCTTATCCTCTGTAGACAATTTGGTGGAAGGTAAGCGGAAACGGCGCAGTAACATCAGCTCTCCAGCTACTCCCACTGCCTCCAGCAGCAGCAGCACAACCCCTACCCGTAAGATCACAGAAAGTCCTCGCGCCTCCATGGGTGTTCCCTCAGGCAAAAGAAAACTTATCACTTCTGAAGAAGAAAGGTCCCCTGCCAAGCGAGGCCGCAAGTCCACCACTGTAAAACCTGGTGAGCTCTTCATTTTGTCTCATTTCCCTCAGCAGATGATGGCAGAATGCCGAATCTGGTGCTGAAGAGATGTAGCCTAATACCTGGCAACAGCACTTCTGTCCTAGTTATAGTGGTTGGGTCCCATAAGCCTATATGTGGTACTAGAGGTAGTTAACTGCATCCCCTGTCCCCTTATACTCAACAGAGTTCAAGTGGGGTTAAATAGGAGGGGAGGACTTGATAACAAACATTCATTGACTCCTGTTTGGGTTCTTGAAGGGAAAGGAATACTGAATTTTAAGCAGAATCAAATCAGGTGAGATCTCTTTCTTTGCATCATCTTCTGCCTCCTAGGAATTCTGTTCCTATCTCTGCTGCTCAGACTTTCTCAGACTTCATATTGAAGGTTTACCTCAGCCTGTGTCTCCGTTCTGCCTACTTTCCTCTAAGCAACCCCTTTCTAGTAGCTTATGTTCGGTGTTGAGAGGAGTTCAGTCCATATGTTGTTTATTGATTCTCTGCAATGGCTGGCTGAGACCTGTGAAATAATTTTGGAAACAAGTCCTCAGTCTGCCCTGATGGGATTCTCATGCCAGTGCACTGATGGAATTCCACTGGTTGTTACCATGTCCAGGCAGCAGAACTTTTGTTTCCTGTGTGTTTGTTTTGTGTTATCTCCTTGTCTGTCTAGCACCACTACTGTGTTTTGAGGTATTTAAAAACAACAGCATCAGCAGCTTTTATTGAATATTTACTGTGTGAGGCATGGAGCCTGCTTCCCATGTAATTTCCTCAGGTGTAATCCTTTGAAATATAGGTGTTAGAATTTGTTTTCCAGTTGAAGAATCTGAGGCACAGAATAGTTGGCTAATTTTCCCAAAGTAAACCAGGATTCAAACTCAGGCATCCTTGATTTCAGAGTCCAGCCTTGTACATGTGATATCATATTGCCTCTGAGACTGTTCTCTTGCTGCTGGTTTTATTTTAGGGAGGCATGCATGACCTGTCTGTCATCTTAGCCTCCTAGCAAACCTGTGATTCAACTTCTCCAGGTCAGGTATCTGCTTTCTTCTCAAGGACTTGACTGGGGCACTTTATAGCATGGGTGTTCTGGGAGTCTTAGACTGACTGGTTCACTTAACATACCCAGGTGTTGGAAACTAGGAGTTAAGACAGGGTATTTTGATATGGCTTCATCTACATGTAAAAGCACTTTACTATCAAGAATTCTCTGCACCATCCTGGTAAGGGTCAGATATGGGGGTGGGGGGGGTGGGAGAATTTCTGGGCACTGTTCTTGGTAATAAAAAAACCTTTTTTTTTTTTTTAAAGGCTGCTTCAAAATATCACATGTCCTGGGGGAAGTCAGAGCACTGGGCAATGAAAGTGGGCTGAAGACTTCTGCTTTTCACTCTTATAACTCTTTGTTTCTATTAGAACCACCTCTTAACTTCAGATGGCCAAAATGTATGGTTTGGATACGTAAAAACATACTAGCGATTTTCACTTACAAAAACAATGTACTATACATTGTCATGGCTATGTAAAATTTAACTGTAAATTTATCTTCATTGTAATTTGACCCTATGTTGTTGGCCATTTAGAGTGCTTGGCTGTAGTAACAGTCTTTGGGTCATAGCTCAGAAACATTCTTTAGGGCATGGCCTGCCCATCAGATCATGCTTGGTGCTAGGGCCTTTATATCACCTAATATCCGTGCTCTTTTCCAGGTGCAGTGGGGGCAGGAGAGTTTATGAGCCCCTGTGAGAGTGGAGACAACACAGGTGAACCTTCTGCCCTGGAAGAGCAGAGAGGACCTTTACCCCTCAACAAAAGCTTGTTTTTGGGCTATGCCTTTCTCCTCACCATGGCCACAACCAGTGACAAGTTGGCCAGCCGCTCCAAATTATCAGATGGTCCTACAGGAAGCAGTGAGGAAGAAGAGGGTAAGGCCCTAGAAAGTCCTAGGGACTCTGACTTGAATGTTTTCTTCATTTTCATTCACTTTATGTGCTGGTTGGTCCCCTACTGAGGCATGGCAGGGGCTGGGCAAGTGGCAATTAGGATCTTGGATAAGGAACTGAAAATTAATTTGTGTCCTGCTTCTTGGTTTATAGTTTCCACAGAATTCCTCTCAGTGAATGGTTCCTCAAAACAATCCTGGTAAACAGATGGGCGATAAGAGTTTTTTGTCATCTGTTTTACATATAAGGAAACAAGCTGAAAGAGGTTAAATAATTGTATTTTGTCTATAATGATGTCAGACTTGGAATTAGAACCAAGTGGTCACTTTACTGTCCTGCTGCCATCCAAGTCAGTCATGAATGCCCTACCATCTTTTCTATTTGTGTTCTAGGAACAATTTCTAGAGGAAACTCAAATTGGTGAATCTTATTCTCTTGAGGTCTAAGTTTAAGACTGGGAGTGTGTGTGTGCTGCCCAGTGCCCGGGATAATTTGAGAGAAATAGCTTCTAGGCTTTTTTTAGCTCTCGTATTTTTATTTAACTGTAAACTAAATTTATATAGTTGTCACTTTGTGTTTTGGGTGAAGGTTGAAAAGAGGAGAAGTAAAATTTATTTCAGTATTCTGACAAGTATGTGATCTATGAGAGAATGAACAGATACAAGTGTGTACTCTACTGTAAGTAACTGACAGTAGTATCCAAATCTATCTGTCAAGGCTAAATGACTAGACAGAATGATGGTTTTACAAGTCAGAGCCCTAATGTTGAGTCTTACAAGAGTTGAAATTAGGGAATGTGGTTGAAATAAAACAGCATTAAAGATCTGTGATTATTGGCATTTCAGGTGTGTAGATGGCTTTCCTAATTTGCCAAAACTTCTCACCAACTGCAGCCATGTGGACAAGGACATGGGAAGAGTGATCAGAAAGTTGAAATTAGGATTTATGCTATTTGGAAGGTGCATAGAGAGGCTGTAGATAGAGATGCTCTGGAGCAGGGAAGTTGGGTTTTGGGAACAAGTATAATTAATGTATGGGATTTTCAAGTGTCCCGTGTGTGTGAAGCCTAGTTTGTCTTACAGAATTCAGATATTTATCTTATGGGAGATAAACAAGGTATATGAGGAGTTTCCTAGCCAAGAATTTAGTTTTACTTTGATCACAAACATTGATCAGATATTTGGGGAGTCCCTTGAGGATTCTGTGTAAAGGTGTGTCCTGGAATTAAAACAATGTTGTCTTTTTTTATTTTTGCTTTCACAATATTGCTCTAATAAATTCTAAGCCCTTTCCTAAAGTAGCATTTTACAAGATTATACTACAGATGTTTTGTTACTTGGCACAGCATAGTCAAAAAGACTAACTTTGGTATGAGATCAGGCTGTTTCTTCAGTTCACTAAAACTCTGTATGCCTGTGTTGAGACCTAACAAACTCTACTCAACAAAAATTAAATGAAGAGGAATTTGAAGGTTTTTATTTTTTACTTAGAAAGTACAGTTATTTTATGCATCAGTTTTATGTTGGTTCCTTCATACTTATCCCAAGAGCACCAGAATCCTTGATTTTTTTTGCAAATGAGAATGCTTAAGGTTACCTTTATCTCAAGAAGGCTGAAGATAGCAAAGGATCATTTTAGTATAGCTATTACAGGTGGCACACACCTGTAATCCCAGCTACTTGGAAGGCTGGGGCAGGAGTATATCAAGTTGGAGGCCAGTGTAGGCAACTTAGCAAGACCCTGTCTCAAAAAATAAAATAAAAAGGTGGGGATATAGCTCAGTGGTAGAGCACTTGCCTTGCATGTGTGAGGCCCACGTTCCATACCCTGTACCACAAAGAAAAAAGGAAAAAGAAAAAACATTCTCTGCTGAATTAATAGTTTTTAAGAAACTATGTGTGATAGATATTATAGATAAACAGAAATTTTTTGATGCCAGTTTATAACAGGAAGTTGGTAAAATATTTAAGTTCATCTTATGAAACGTTATTAATGAGTTAGGAATATGGCCCTTGGTTTTGTTAGATGGCATATCATCAAGGATCATCAAACACAGACATTGACTCTGGAGTTGAGTTTATTTTGTAGTCTTATCCTCGTTCTAGATAGTGGAATTGGAATTGAGATCCTCTTCATTTTAGTCTCAAGTTGGGCAGAGCCCTCTTATCTCAAAAGTAAACCAAATCCAAATTAAAGTTGAGAAGAATTGGAGAAATGGACTGCTTAAACAGGGAATACTGATCATACAAATATAAGAAACTGTTATGGGGAATTAAAATCTAAATGGATCAGGACTGGAATCAGATATAAAATAAAAAGAAGTCTTGAGAATCTCGAGTCAAGGACCATGAAAAGTGTCAGCAGAGACTCAGTGTCTTGGTGCTAAAGATTGTGACATAATACATTAGCAAAAGGATGCTATGACAAAGCTGTGTTCTGAATTTCTTACAACCATTTAGTTTCTAGTTTGGGTTTTCATTTTGAAAAGAATGTATACAATGTGGAATCAAGAAAAAAGCAGTGAAAGTGAACAGGCTGTTCTGTCACACCTAAACAAAGATGCAGAGACCTGGGATGGGCCATCACCACCACCTGAGCAGCTCCAGCAGGCAGGGAGGTCTCCAAAGGGCATCTCTACAAGGGGTCTGCTCTACCAGGTTTTAACTACTGGGGACAAGGGGGAAAGGGAGTGATCCTGGCATTGAACTTTATGCATTGGGTTGGGTTTTTTATTTGCGAAAAAATTCAGTTAATTAGCACTTAATTTCCCAGAAATCCTAATTGACTAAAATCTCTAATGTCTTGCTTTTCTTTTCTTTTCTTTTTTAATGTGTTATTATATATGAGAGGAGCAGATGGCAAGAAAACAAGCTCAAATTAGATATTTGCTCAAAGAAGCAATTTCTAATTGCCTAGGGTCATTACAGCATCAGCCTCATCTCTCATATCTTCTACTTCACCCTCAAGACTGTAGAGCAGTCATTGATGTTCAGTGTCCTGAGGTACTTCAAGATCATCAAAGGTAGATAGTTTTCCATGAAAAGGTTGAAACAGGATTTTCTGATTAACCTTCACTTAATCAGTTAAAATTTTAAAACCATAATTTCTTTGTGCATTCTGGTTTACCAAAGTTTTAGTGTACAGGGGGTAAAAAAGGCTAATGAAGTGGGAATTTGAAGGCTTTATTTTATACAAAAAAAAAAAAAAAAAAAAACCAGCTATTCATCTCCACAGAACGCAGAACTAGAAGTGGGTGTAGTTTGCCACAAGAAAGATTTAGGGTAGACTTAAGGACAACTTTCTGATGGTACGGTTATTCAAATTAGAATAAGTCACTTGGGAAATGGTTACATTGTCTATTTCCATGAATAGTCCCTGATCCAAATCTTAGTGTGCAGGAACCTTTGATGATTTTAGGTCTAGGACCTACCTCCATTCCTCCTTTTCCCACTCCCTCCTGCTCTTGTCCCTTCTTTTTGGCAGCATTTTATAGGCCTCAAGACAGATTTCTTTCTGACTCATGGGGAAGCCCTTAACCTGTTTTTGGGGACACACTACTATGGAGATAGCTGGGGAGTAGAAAATAAGGCAGTCAGAAGCAGGCATAAAGTAGTAAATAAGAAACCAGTCAATTCAGTAACTATTACCTTGGTTATCTGTTTTTTTATATAGAATTTTTAGAAATTCCTCCTTTCAACAAGCAGTACACAGAATCCCAGCTTCGAGCAGGAGCTGGCTATATCCTTGAAGATTTCAATGAAGCCCAGGTGAGGAGTCTTTTTGTATAGCTGTCCAGTGTGGCAACAATGAAAGTCTGCTTTCTTTACTGAGAAAAGGCCTGAGAGGGTCCAGGAGGTTAGATTAAAATAGCCAGATTTCAGGAACTGGGAAACTGTCAAAACGTTGCATGAACCAGATGCAGTGGTAAAACGCTTGTAATCCCACCAATTTAGAAGTTGAGGCAGGGTGAATGCAAGTTCAAGACCAACCTGAACAACTTAGTGAGACAGTGTCTCAAAATAAAAAAAGAGCTAGGAATATAGCTCAGTAGTAGAGTGCCGTAGGTTCAATCCCCAGTTCCCAAAAAGTGGGGAAAAAATGTCATTGCATAAAATTTAGCTTTTATTCTGTATAAGGAAATGTATAGAAGTTGGATTAGTTAATGGCTCTGGTTCTTCTTCTGGGATAAAGCATATTGAAATTATGTTTAATAGAAATCCCTTTCATGTTGTTGATTCTTACCTTAAAAGGACAAATACAGGGGCTGGGGTTGTGGCTCAGGGGTAGAGCGCTTGCCTAGCATATGCAAGGCCCTGGGTTCAATCCTCAGCATCACATAAAATAAATAGATAAATAAAATAAATGTATTGTGTCTCCAACTACAACTAAATAAATATATAACACACACATACATGTTATATATGTTACATATATATAACATATATACACAAATATATGTATATATAACATATATACATATATATGTTACACACACACAGAGATAAATATTATATATATTATCTATCAAATACATGGGTTTTGGTTGTTCCTAAAAGGACTTACGTCCTCAGATGAGAGTCAGGGAGAATGTGTAGGGAAGCATTTTGAGTTTTTGAGAAAAGTGGCCTCAGTCACAAGAACAGACTAAATCATATTTTGGAAGAATCTAAAAGTCTTCCAAGCTATTCTCCATAGCTTATTAGAGTGAAGATCTTTCCATAGACATTGCCAGATCTATTGATTGTTCTGTTCCTTCCAGTGTAACACAGCCTACCAGTGTCTCCTAATTGCGGATCAACATTGTCGAACCCGGAAGTACTTTCTGTGCCTTGCCAGTGGGATTCCTTGTGTGTCTCATGTCTGGGTCCATGACAGTTGCCATGCCAACCAGCTTCAGAACTACCGTAATTATCTGCTGCCAGCTGGGTACAGCCTTGAGGAGCAAAAAATTCTGGATTGGTGAGTATTTGAGAGCCCATCCAGAGCTGAAGAGATAGGAAGACAGCAAGCTTTTGGAAGAATCTAGGTGAGAGAATAAACGTTTTTAGAAACTGGAATGTCTGTAGAATAAATTTCAGAATTTGGATGTGAAATGACTTCACCAGCTCATCTAGCTTTGTTTCCAAAGCTTAGTTCCATATTGGCTAGGAGCCCTTTGAACGTGTGTGAGAATTTATATGTAGGCTCAATATTCCCAACCTATAAGGTCAGGGAACAAAGTTTTAAGTAAGCACTTAAAAAAAAAAAAAAAAAAGCTCAGGCACATGATTCAGATTATTCCTAGCCCCTGGACAAACATGGTAGTCAGAAGGGTAGGATCAGAAGGCCAGGGATCCTAGAGAATACACATAATTCACCAAGAGGGAAGGGAAGGGAAGGGAAGGGAAGGGAAGGGAAGGGAAGGGAAGGGGGTGCCTTAGTACAGGGCTGTTTTGAAAGAATTCAGATGTACCTGAGTTTCTTTGCAGAATGGCTGTTTGTTGGTCATTATCTGTCATGCTAAGATCCTTCCCAATTCCAAAGGGCTTGCTCTCTCTGAATCCTTCATAGGCAACCACGTGAAAACCCCTTCCAGAATCTCAAGGTACTCTTGGTATCAGATCAACAGCAGAACTTCCTGGAGCTCTGGTCTGAGATCCTCATGACTGGAGGGGCAGCCTCTGTGAAGCAGCACCATTCAAGTGCCCATAACAAAGGTACCAGAAAGTGTGTGTTTTGTTATTGTTCCAAGTACCCCACTATCTGTTGGGCCTGTGGTGTAATCTCAGTTTTGGTAATTTTCACCTCATCCATTTTTTTTTCTTTTTTGGTACTGGCGATTGAACTCAGGGGCACTCAACCTCTGACCACATCCCCAGCCCCATTTTGAATTTTATTAGAGACAGGGTCTCACTGAGTTACTTAGCACTTCGCCATTGCTGAGGCTGGCTTTGAACTCGTGAGTCTTCTGTCTCAGCTTCCTGAGCCACTGGGATTACAGGCATGTGCCACCACACCCGGCTTTACCTTATCCATATTTCTAAGAGAAGAAAAGTACCACCATTAAGAGGTGTGTCAACATAAGTGAAGCACTGAGCTGTTCACGCTTCTGTTTCCAGTAGTATATTTGTTAAAACATTTCTACAATGTCAGCATATGTTTTTGGTTGTGATCAGGATTGTTTGACATAACAGGGCTTTACAGTTTGGGTAGACTATACATTATTTTTTTCTGTTGTTGATGGACCTTTATTTTATTTATTTATATGTGGTGCTGAGAATTGAACCCAGTGCCTCACACATTCTGAGCCACAACCCCAGCCCACATCTGTCTTTTTTTTTTTTTAAGAGAGTTTTTTTAAATTTTTCAGTTTTCGGTGGAAACATCTTTATTTTATTTTTATGTGGTACTGAGGATTGAACCCAGCGCCCATGCATGACAGGCGAGCGTGTTACTGCTTGAGCCATATCCCCAGCCCCCTACATCTGTCTTTTTAATGGAAGGCTAAATTGGCATCCTTTCCTCATTCACTTTCCCCTACTCCTTGCAGATATTGCTTTAGGGGTATTTGATGTGGTGGTGACAGACCTCTCATGCCCAGCTTCGGTGCTGAAGTGTGCTGAAGCATTGCAGCTGCCTGTGGTRTCCCAAGAGTGGGTGATCCAGTGCCTCATTGTTGGGGAAAGAATTGGATTCAAGCAGCATCCAAAATATAAACACGATTATGTTTCTCACTAAAGATACTTGGTCTTACTGGTTTTATTCCCTGCTATTGTGGAGATTGTGTTTTAACCAGGTTTTAAATGTGTCTTGTGTGTAACTGGATTCTTTGCATGGATCTTGTATATAGTTTTATTTGCTGGACTTTTATGATAAAATAAATGTTGAATCTCTTTGGTTGTAGTAATTGGGATTTCTTCATCTGTGTCTTTGAGCCTAATCTCAGAATTAATAAGACAAACATAGTTATCTTTGGAGATTTTTTAGGTTTGCTCACTTTAGGAGGACAGCTAACCAAGGAAGATAAAAATTTAAGAGTTTAAGGAAAATTTTGAGGCATCATTATCAAAAAGTTATCCCAGGCTGTCCAAAATGTTATGTTTCCAAAAACTCAATTTTAAGGTAGGTTAGAGACCAGGTTAATATGCCAAGAGGAGAGAGAGCTGTAAGTTTTTGACTGTCATAGTTTCTCTCCATACACAGAGCTAAGCTCACTGACAGCTAACCTATGGGTATTCCCCTGACCTGAAAAAAATTGAGTGGTCAGTGAACATAAGCTTGATGGGATGACTTTCTGTAAGATAAAATATTGAAAACTCTAGTGGGATGTCTGATATATTATTAATGTCACAATTGCTAGAAGCTCTATTTTCCCTGTCCCTAGCATCATCCCTGTTCATGTACTCTTGTTCTCTTAACAGAGCCCAACACATTTTCTATAGGGAGCCAAACAGGAACAATTCCTAGGCTTTTGGGGCCATCTAGTCTCTCAGGACAACTCACCTCTGCTGAGAGAAGATGAGTGCAATTGTAGGCGATAGGTAAACAAATAAGTGTGACTGTTTAAAATAAAAACAAAACTACATTTACAAAAACAAGCAGTTTGCCAACCCCTGCTCTAGAGGCAGCAGAGGGAGGGAGGGAGGAAGGGATGGAAGGAGGGATCATTTCTAGTTGACCACTGCACAGACTAAGGGAATTATAACATGGTGGATGAGGCAGAGATGAAGACCAGATTCAGTTCTGCAAATGAGACCAGAACACCACACTTTTTCCCATTTTGGAGGGAGATGTTAAGTGAATATTTACTTTATTCACACTGATACCAATATTAATGATTATCCATGATGATTGGGTCATATCAGGGGAACTTTAATTCCTGTCACTTGTTACAAGGTAGAATAACTGGCCATAATTTCCAGTAACAACTTGACCCCGATTCTCTCTTAAAAGATCTTTTTCATTGGTGGAAAAATACTTTAAATATATTGTTACTAGCTAGAATTGCCCTTTTACCTGTCCATATGAATTGGAACTTGCAAAATTCTTAAGATTCACAGGTTTGAAGATCCTTAAGGCTGGAAGGCTCATAAATTTAAAGGAGGAAAGAATCTGTGTAGGCATGTTACTTGATACAGGGAGAAGGAAAGTCTTTCTCACCTTTGTATTTCTTACTTGCTGGTAACATCCATCAGTTGATTTATTTGTAAACATTCCTTTTTTACATATAATCCCCCCTTCCCCCCCACACACAAAGAAACTTCTGATCTTTGCATTTACTACTGTATTTCCCACACCTTGAATAGAACCTAGGCACATGGTAAATGCCCCATAAAAAAAACTGATGAATAAATAATGAACATGCCTAGCAGATGCTCTTAGTGTAAAGGATGGGAGCCTTGTATGGTTGCAGAGGGACAGCTGACTCCACAGGTTCTCCTTGGTGTGGGCAGTCACATTCCAAATGAGAATGATGGGAAGAGAAAAGGTAAAGCCCTCTTACTAGGCTGCAGATATTTGGTGAATGGCTAGAAAATAGGTTGAATCTTCGGTAACAGACTTGAGAATGTGGTGAGAATAACTGTTATTTCGGTTTATGAACCAGTAGTTTTCACATCCCGAAACTACAAAAGAAAAAAAAAGAGCCTCATTAAATACCATGCTTTCCTAAGATTATCTTCAAGGAAATACAAATCAGTGTTAAAATAATGTCATCTTAACACTCAAGAGTCTGACTACTGATAAAACCACATAAAAAAAAATCTGCTCTGAGGCATTTTAGTGAGAAAGAAAGGCAATAAAGTTCTTTTCTGAATGGAAACAACACAGACCTGAGAAGCCAAATACCAGTGGATCTCACTATTAGATTAAAAAAACTTCAGTGAGAAGGGGTGGTCCTGTCCTTTCACAGAATTAGAAGCTAGGGGCCAGCAAAGCACAGTGCCTTTGCTATAAAGGTAGTTTGTATCACAGCTGGGAGTAGAAGGCATACTTCCTCCCAGCTCAGCAATCTACAACCTCGCAAAGGACTTCAAACCCCTCTCACTATCAGGTGTTTCAGTATTTTCTTATAATGATGATTTTTTTACTGGAAAATAATCTTCATTAAAATAATTAAAGACGGTCAGACACATATCTGTATCTCTGAGCCTTGTTTATAGAATGAGGGTATTTGGGATCAAATGATGGCTAAAGTCTCCAATTCAGTTCTGGAATTATGCAACTCATTAAATAATTACACACACACACGCACAGTTTCCCAAGGGTTGTCCCTACCTGCCCAGAGTTCCGCCAGCCTGAGTGTAGTATTTGTTATAATCTAGTCGTAACAGTAGTTGAGCCAAATCTGAGTTGATCTGATGATTCCGGACACTGGAGAGAATCTTGAATAGAAGTGAAGACTGGCGGCTAAAGCCCTGCAAAGTGGGGGACTTAAGTTGGCATTCCCTTAAAACTCACCATCTCTCCATGAGGAGGCGTAGAGCAGGAGAGTTCCTTGCTCAAAATTCCACAGAATCACATTGCTTTTTTTTTTTTTTGTAGTGCTGAGGATTGAACCAAGGGCCTTGTGCATATGAGGCAAGCATCTACCAACTGAGCTATATCCCCAACCCCCATATTCCCATTTCTATTAGCTCCTAAAATGATTTGGTCCATAAAATTCATGACTTTTTATGAAAGTACTTTCTCACAAGTAGAAATTTAGCAGCCGGTTTCAAGTGAATATAATTCTATCATGTACAGGAATTGGGAGAACTTTCATTTTTCTTTTTTTGTTATAGGCAGATAATTATAATTTCAGTGAGCCAGGAGATTAGCTCAAGGAAGTAAGGATGTAGGATGTGAGAAAGCACAATGCCAATGCACATTAGGTGGGCTGAGTACATTCTTCAGGGCTGAACTATTTTTGAACACTGTGAGGTGGCATTTTAATCATCTACTTCAAAATCAACTGATACCAACATTTTAATCTTTGTATCTTGTTATTTCTGTGTATATGTATTGGGGAAATGCTTTATTGACTTGGAGGAGAGATCATGAATTTTCCTTGGGCAAGACCACCTCTGTCCTTTGGATAGGGCTGTACACTTTCAATGGCGAACCAGACTCACCTTCACGAGAATGCTCAGCTGGGCAGCTCCACGCTCATCTAGAGGGCCCAGGTTCTGACTGACCAGTGAACAAAAACTGTGACAGAGATCTAAGATTTCATTCAGGCAGTGAAACACCTACCCAGGAAAGCAAGTTAGCATTAGGAAAAAAGGAAGATGCATCTGTGAAGTGAAAAGATTTGGGAAAATGGTCTAACAGTTGACCTCCCATATCTGACCTCAGGACAGACAAAACCACTTACAAGGCTGCTAGCCCCTCAAATGCAACATGAGCAAAACAGAATCATACCTTGCCTGCATTATTCTCTTAATCCACGCTGCACAAAACTTTCACTCTATCCACATTAATCATAATTTCTTGGAAATACAGTGTGTTCCTACCTGTGAGCTGTGGTGTTCCTGGTATCTGGGATATTCTCTGTAACATCAGTTTAAGCCCCACACTCAGTGAAGTGCTTCTTCCCCACTGTAGCCTTTAGTGAGCTTTCACTTCTCTGCTATATTATCTGTACTGTTCACTTGGCAATTGTTCAGGCCACTTGTGTTGTTATCAATCTTTGTATGAATATATGTTTTGTTTCTCCAACTAGATTGTGAGCTCCTTAAGGGCAGAGCCATGACTTATACCTCTTTGTATTCCCAGTGCCTTGCATATAGTAAGCACTCAATAAATATTTAATGATGACGACTTGCTCTAATAGTCTGCTTTTCCACAAGGATGCACCCAGGTCATGCATAAACTGGGTCTATCTAACAGTGGTTTTGGTTGTTTTCAATTCATGGAATCCTCTGGAGTAGCATATACATAACTCATTTTTCCTTGGTGTTGCAAAAGTTCAAATCCCAAATACTAGAACAAAAAGAAGTCTATAGCACTGGTACTGTGGTACACTCAACCAGCTCCCATCACAGTTAAAGCAGTCACCATTGTGCTAGAAACTACAAGAGGTTATTATTTTTTTTAAATCCTAGAATTAAATCAGCTGTGAGCTTTCAAAAAAAATCTTGATGTCTGGACCCCACTCTAGGAATTAATTAAAGTGCTCTAGATCCTAGATTTTTTAAAAGGTCCCAGATGATTAAATGTACAGCCAAGATGAAAAAAAAATGTCACAAAGGAGACATATATGTGTACTTACAGATATATACAACTTTTAAACAACTGGTTGATCCTGGTCCAACAGATTTCTAAGAAAATGATCTCTTTTCATTGGTTTTTCTATAGTGTCAGAAGGATTTTTTAGATTAACTCCTTCTATCCTATGATGCACATTTCAGAAATTCAAAGACATTTAAATTCCCTGTTAACATTCTCTTTTGGTTTTGCTTTATAAGTTGTTAAATGGAGTTGAACAAGTATTTAATGATAATTTTATATCCTGTCAATGCAGAGTATCTAAAAGAACAGTCAGTGCAGTCTAAGAAAACCAACCAGCCTTACTTACAGGTTTCAATAAGATAAAGGACTGAGCCAGCAAATTGCTTAGGAAGTGGTCGTGAGCCAATCGGATGCTTTCAAAGTCTCTAGTAGAATTGATTTGATGAAGCAGCTGTGAGAACTGAGACTCCAGCACATCTACCTGATAGACAGTTACACAATTTTTAGCACCTTGCACCTTATTTCATTCTGTCCTATGCTTGACAGGAAGAAACAAATTCATTGCCCCCACTCATCTTTCCTCTAACAAAGCCATGTTCAGGCTAACCAAAGACACCCTGATATTGCCCAGCCTTGTAGGAAGTTATCTATGTAATTCTTAACCACCCTCAATGTCTTAGACCACTCTCCACTGCCCCAACACATCCCCTCCACTGACTGACTTAATTCTAGAGAATTCCAGAAGTTCTAGCAAACACTAGGACAAGTAAACAATTAATGCTTTGCTGATAAAGATCCTAATTCCTTATTCCCCTTTATCTGTGTATTTCCAATTTTCTCAAAAATGCCCTCAAGACTCGTGCCTATTGATAAAACCCCTGATCTTTTTCCAACTCTAAGCACTTTGCCAAACAGAATTCCTCTGTCTCCTGACAACCTTCTAGATTTCTTTTCACACCCCTTCCTTCTACTAATCCCCAGAACACACCTGGAGATAGTATTGAAGATTATCTACCAAGAAGGCCATGTGGTTTCTTAGGCGCCACTTGACTGCATCAGTCTGGTTGGACTTGAGGTGTTTACGCTGCATTTGTAGGGCCCAGCAGTGCTGCAGTTCAGCTTGGACCCGGCGCACACTCAGTAAATACTTAAAAACAACATTGTACCTAGGACAGAAATATCAGGCTATTCAAGAAACAAACCCCCATGCCCGTCTATGGGACAGACACAGACTCTGCTATCCACCTCTCCCCCAAAAAGCAGGTAGAAAAGAATGGCTAGAGATGTGAACAAAGACACTGTGGCTTCTTTATACAATGAAATCTTACACAGCAGTCAAAATGAATGAATATGAGCTATATAGCTGTATAACACAACAAAATGACTCTTAGCAATATGATTCTGAATGAAATAGGTAAACTGCAAAAGATCACATATGACCTTTTAAGTAATTCTTAAAACAAATGAAAGCAGGGGCTGGGGATGTGGCTCAAGCGGTAGCACGCTCGTTTGGCATGCGTGTGGCCTGGGTTCGATCCTCAGCACCATATACAAAACAAAGATGTTGTGTCTGCCAATAACTAAAAAATAAATATTAAAATTCTCTCTCTCTGCCTTCTCTCACTCTCTCTTAAAAAAATGAAAGCAAAAAAATATGAGGGAATATAGTTTGATATTACAAAACTGTACATCGGGGTTTATATTAATAGTCACCTTGGGTTGGGGGATGCAAGGGGACAGGACTGGGAAGGACCATGTAAGTAGATAAACAATAATCATCAATGTTCTAGTTTTTATGCTAGGAAGTGATGTGATGATGATGTGTGTGGGAAGGCAGGCAGGTAGGAGGGTCTTGCATGTACCAAAAAGAATTTGTTAGCAGACCCCTGCCTCCAACAAGCTGAGGGGCTAAATGCTTACTGCTGAGACCTTGTACTGAGAAAACCCAAGAGAAGAACAGCTAGTTTTTGGTAGAGTTAGAGATTTACTTGTTCACAGGCAGGTTTGCAGAAGACAGTCTAATTCCACTAAGTTTAAAAATTTTTTTGATATACTTCAAATGGAAGAGATGTACTGAAATAGTAGACCATCTTTGTACATGATTTGAACACAAAAACAATATAGGTACTTTTTAGATAAAAGTAAATTGCATTACAGACTGGATTAGGTTATAGAGATTGTTAGTTTTCTTGAGTGTGATACTAGCACTGTAGCTCTGTTGAAAACATCCCTTTTTGAACTGCACAGGAGCCAAGCGACATAGCATATCTGGGATTTGCTCTAAAGGCTGTAGCACAACACAGGGGAGGGAAAGTTGAAGGAAGCAGCTTACTGCTGGTGGTTACTGAAACTGGATAATGAGGATGGAGACATGTGTTACAGTCTATACTTTTGTTGATAGTTAGAAATTTTCATAATAAAAAGTTCAAAAACAAAACTTCCAAACTAGATTTCCTCAAGAGTTAATAACATATCAAGTGAGGAGGAAGTGGACTACAGGCCTGTGGGATGCTGTGGGGTCTGGAGCTTTGGAGGCTCTCTGGACAAGGTCCCTGCAGCTTGCTGGGCTCTGAACCTGCTGTAGAATCTTCTCCCTGAAACTTGTCTAGCTTACATCAAGGCTGTCATTGCAAAGGCTACCCTAAAACAAGTAGACAGAGGCTGTACAGAACTGGGAGGATGGAAAAAAAGGGGTTTAAAGAAGAGATGGCCCCATTTGCTTATTATTTTTCCTTTTCTCTATTCCTCTAGCCTCATGAGCATGACAATTTCCTCCCTTTCCCTACAGCTCTGGTTCCTCTGGTTTGGGGATATGAGGTCCTGCAACAGCACTGGGCAGGCTCTCATGATATAGACAAGGCTGGCCTTACAAAGTCTCATACCACCTTTATTTCACGCCCCCAGAAGGGTGTCCCTGTTGCCTTTCTCTGGTGTAAAAGGAAGTGATCTCCCTAGAAGCTAAAATCCATAGCAAAAACTTGGGCTTTCCCAAAAATATTATAAAAGTTAGGGAGGAAACTCATCAAGTCTGATGGAATCACTAAGGTCCAGACTCTTAGTGTGGTACTGCACACCTCATTCTCCTGAGGTTACAACTGGCAGCCTATAAACTGCTTGTTATTTTGCAAGCTTTTTTAAAAAAATTATGTTTGTAAGTATATATATATATCCCCTTCCCATTCATTCCAGTTCCCATCATTCCCTACTGTCTCATGTCTGTAGCCTCACTTATTAATGTGAAACTGTCTTGTCTCTGAAGACATGAGTTTGCAATTTCTGATTTGTAGACTGTTAAAACAAAAAAGTAGCTGTCTTGGTTCCATCAATTCTATACGTGCTAATTTCTTTCCTAGGAAACAAGGTGGATAAAATTTACCTCTAACAAACTCCAAAATACTCACTTTTCCAGGACAGCTGGGGTGAAGAGAATGTGTAGAGGCCATTGTACTTTGTAGGAAAGACCAAGGGCCGCCCAGCCAGATGCAGGGGCTTCCCGGGGGGAAGTTTCCCGAGAAGGCGCTTCTCTTGCCTGAGTAGCATCTGCTAATTAATTAATGATCAGGAGAAGAAATGAAAAAAAAAAAAAAAGACAAATTGGTTAATCCAGAGTCAGATTTAACAAGGTGAATAACATTCATGGAATGAGTATTCACTGGTGTCTGCAGTGTGACCGCACAAGGGACACAAAGGTAAAGGGCAAGGAAATTGCTATGTGAGGTTCTCTTTTTTTTTAAATATTTTATTTTTTTTTAGTTTTCGGCGGACACAACATCTTTTGTTTGTATGTGGTGCTGAGGATCGAACCCGGGCCGCACGGATGCCAGGCGAGCGTGCTTCCGCTTGAGCCACATCCCCAGCCCATGTGAGGTTCTCTTGAAGGGTCTTTTGGATTCTTTTTTCAATGTTATAGTCTGGAGGCTGGAAGTAAATAAATAGACACCATTCCAGCAGCATTACCAAAAACAAACAACAAAAGTACACCCTGGGCATCTCACTAGACTTCTGGACTTCTCTTTTCTCCTGTAAAAAATTTGGGTACTATACTCATATTGCTGGTGGCACTGCAAATTGGTGCAACCACTCTGGAAAGCAGTATGCATATTCCTTAGAAAACTTGGAATGGAACCACCATTTGACCCAGCCATCCCACTCCTCAGACTATACCCAGAGGACTTAAAAATCAGCATACTATATAGTGCCATAGACACCTCAATATTTATGGCATCTCAATTCACAATAGCTAAACTGTGGAGCCAATCTAGATGTCCTTCAACAGATGAATGGATAAAGAAACTGTGGTATATATGCACAATGGAATATTACTCAGCATTGAAAGAAAATAAAATTATGACATTTTCAGGTAAATGGATGGAGTCAGAGGAGGAGAATATCATGCTAAGCAAAGTAAGCCAACCCCAAAATATCAAAGGCCAAATGTTCTGTCTGATAAGAGGATGCTGATCCCTAATGGGGGGAGGGAGCATGGGGAGAATGGATGAACTTTGGGCAAAGGGGAAAGAGGGAAGGGGAGGGGGCGTGGGAACAGGAAAGATGGTGGGATGAGATGAACGGCATTACCCTAGGTACACGTGTGACTGCACATGTGGTGCAATTCTACATGGTGTACAACCAGAGAAATGAAAATGCGTGTTCCATTTGTGTACAATGAATCAAAATGCATTCTGTTGTATATAACTAATTAGAACAAATTTTAAAAAATGAAAAAAAAAAACTGGGGTACTGGACTAGATGGTTTCTAAGGTCCAAAATTATGTTTCTGTGGAGGTAGATAGAAGCAGGGATAGGAAAATGGATGGTGACCAGGAGGAACAGAAAGGAAGCAGAAAAGAATGGCAAACCTTTGTGCTCCTTTCCATGATACTCAATTGTCAAGTGCAACAGAGGAAGAAGGTTGTCATCATCCAACAATACCTTGTGTGCTGACTGTTGAAAGGCCACATTCACATCTGCAAGAAAGAACACATGGGTTGACAGGAAAGCTAACAGTAGGATGCAGCAGACATGTGTTCCTTTGCCTGACCAGCATTCATTTCTCCTTTTCTTCTTGTTGGTGACAGCATCCTGAGAGTATCATGCCTGCCCAACATAGTTCTTGTGGTTCCAGTGAGCTTGGAAATACCTGATTCTAGGATGGCAGGCAAGCTAGGCATGAGAGATGGAATGTAAAACTCTATACAGCTACATTTTGTTTAGGGGTATAACATGACCCAATTCAGGCCAATCCAGAGGCTGTACTGAGACCCTTAAAGAGTACAGCTCTGTCAGAATAACAGAGACTTAGTAGGATGTAAAAACTTGGCTAGAGTCTACCATTCAAAACAGGTCTGTCCAAGAAGAAAGGCAGAGGTGAAGATGGAAAGAGACCAAGTTAAAGGAATCACATAAGCCATTGGAGCATTTTGCCTAAAGCCATCACATCTCTAAGTTTTTCAGTTATAAAAATCAATAATTCTTTTTCCCTTTTTTTTTACATGAGTTTGAATTGGATTTTCTGATATTTGCAACCAAAAAATGTACTATATAAGTATAGTGGATATCTATTATTTTACTGACTAGAAAAATAATCATAAAAAATAAATCATCCTGAAATAATCATCTGTATTATTTTTCTACCTTTATTTTTATTTTTTTTTTGGGGGGGGGCTCTGATTCCTATTTAGCTCTCTTCATGTGGTCTAAATGGGAACAGTCATTAATTGATCTAGGGGTGGATGCTGCTGAACTAGTGTCTAACCTCTTCAAGTGATTCAGGAATAGGCATTTGATTTGGGTTGAGCCAAGCAAAACCCTTCCCCTGAAATTCTTTAACTTGCTATTGAGAGACCAGATTTGGTTTCTTCAGTAGAGGACACTGGGAAGCATGTTCTTGATGGCCCTAGAAAGTCAGAGTACATAAGAGACAAAGATAAAATACAGTGAGAGAGAATTCTGATAGTATCCAAGTCCTTAATTTCAGATGTTGTGAGGCCCAGTTGTACCACTGTTCCATTAGAGTTTTAGATATAATAGCAAATAAATCCCCCTTTTCTAACTAGGTGAGCTCAGGTTAAAATAAAACAGTTCTAATGTAATATATATATATATATATATTTTTTTTATATAATATATATATGTTTTTTCTGATGAGATGAAATACCTGGTTTGAAGGCCTGTACCAACTCCTCCAGGTAGGGTCACAGGGCCAAGGTGCTGTTCCTAATGACCTCAAGGTGAAGCCTACCTGAAAGTCCCATCTTTGAAAGCTCTGCTCTGGTAACTCACCAGGCTGCTTGTATATGGAGCAGGCCTAAAAGCATCAGTAGCAGCCAAGAAATACCCTGTAACTTCAGTAAGTTGGTATTCTCAGGGTCACAGGGCAATTACCATGCTCGGTTACTGCAGTGGGTGGTGTTTTTAACATGTGTTGAGCTGTGTCAATGAAGGCCTGAAAGAGTTCTCCTCGTCCCAGAAGGTAAAAGTCTTTAATGATCTGAGGAAAGAATTTCAATTTACAATTCAGTAAAGCAGGATCAGGAGGGCCTCATTATCCTGAGGAAATTACACAATATATTTCCAATCTTATCAGTCTGAAAGACATAGGCATTTTGAAGAAGCATTCAGAGCAGTTCCTTCTAGTAGGATGATGGCTTGTGTTTCATTTCGTTTATACAATGGCAACATACTAAAACCAGAAGAAAGTAAACTCCCAAATCTTTGTGCTACAGTAGATTTGTAACACAAGGTACTTTTTGCTCACTTGAGAAAGAGCAAATGAGTCCACTGTGCCAGTCTGGGTATAGGCAATCAGTGCCCCCAGGAGAGGTCAAAGAATGTAAGCCACTGCCCACCAGCATTATGTTGAGAATGAAAAGAATAGCTGTTATTACCTTCAGCTGACCCAGCAGATCTGACTCCTCTACCATCAGCTTCCAGAGATGCTATGAAAAAAACCAACAAAACAGGGACAAATGTTCATTACAATGAAAATTCCTATAAGAAATGGTTTTGTACAAGTTCTGCCATGTATTGATAAAAGAATATATACATAACCAAAATCAGTTTAACAGTTTTAAACCCATGAAGATGGAAATGTTCTGAAATTTTTTGATAACAGTCATGTAACATCTGTGAATATAGTAAAAACCACTGACTTAAAAATGGCTACAATGTTGTGCCTGTAATCCCAGCTATTTGGGAGGCTAAAGGGAGCTTCCTTACCCAAAGATCCTCTTCTCCCTTGCTAAAGGCAGCCCACATCCCCAAACTGGCAGATTCAGGGGTATAATAGCTTAGCCCCTTAGCCCTTTGGACATTTCTGAAGGCCATCCTAGTTTCAGAGCTCTGCAATATGATCGCCCAAGGCTCCTATTGGAACTGCATCACAAAGTATCTTCTCCCTCTGATTAATTCGGCCTCACTCACTTATTCCAACTAAATCCTAATCTTAGAATCTGTTTCCTGGGAAACCTGACTTGGGACTTGAGCCAAGAATTTAAAATACTCATGATAAACATGCTTAAAGAGGTAAGGACAATGGCAATGTAAATATATAAAAAGAAAACAAAAAGAACCAAGTTGTTTAAATAATTATATAGCCACATGCAAATTTTTTAAATGATCCATACCTCATACCATATAGAGAAATTAACTCAAAATGATCACAGACTTAAATATAAAGCTAAAAACTATAAAATTGAAGAGAGAAAATAGAGGGAAAAATCTGTGACCTTGGTTAGGCAAAGATTTCTTAGATACAACACTAAAAACATCCATTAAAAAAAAAAAGATAAGCTGGGCTTCATCAAAATTAACAATTTCTGCTCTTTGAAGGAGACCATTAATGGAATGAAAAGAGAAGTCACAGGCAGTGAGAAAATAAGTCACATATCTGCCACAGGACTTATATTCAGAATACAAAAATGCTCTCAAAATTCAACAGTAAGAAAATTAAAAAGTCAACACAAAATGGGCAAAAAGTGGATGAAAAATATTTGACACCATTAGTCATTAAGGAAATGCAAATTACAACGAGGGAACTACCCAAATTTCTATCAACACAAAGACTGATAAACATTTTGGTAGAAAAAAAGGAAAACTACTAAGCAGAAAAAAGGAATCAACTACTGATAAATGCAAATTGGATTCATCTCAAAATAATATACTTAGTAATAAGATTATTTTCTCCTCCAAAGAGTGCATACTGTGTCATTTCATTTTTACATACTTTAAAAAAATGCAACCTAACTTAACACAGAGTAGTTGCTGGGGACCTGAAGTATAGGAAGAATAGGATGTAAGTACATTCAAAGGTTGAAAATAAAGGATGGAAGAAGCCATCATGTAAATAAGTCCAAAAGAAAGCTGGACAGTGAGTGATCTTAACAATATGAATGATATTATCACAGGTGACACAGGACACTGTCACGAGCCAGCCATGGGCTATGTGTGTGAGCCATGAGCATCTGAGCAATGTCAGTCAATCTGTTGACATCACCAAGCAACCCACTGAAACCCAATCCCTTGCCTTATTTGGGTTAAATGTCTTCCCCTTAAATAAATAGGATGGTCTCAGGTGTGCTCTCTCTCCCTTTTGTCTGCATCTCTTGCTTCTCTTGTGGGAACTAGGGCCGAGGAGCCATCACTGGACACCAAGAAAAACGTACTTTCTGTGTCTCTGTGATTACTCAGTGCCAACCCAATTCACCTGGAGTGACCCTGACTGATTTAGTTGCATGTCGTGGCAGGATACCATGTGATAAAAGGAAAAATACATACATTGTATATATGCACATAACTTAACATATAACCTCAAAATTATTAACTAGAACATTCTTAGAATTCTAAACACAATTATATATTCTCTGGGCACATGTGTTGAGAGGGTTGGAATGGCCACTGGCATTTTGCCAGAAGGAATGTTTGAGAGGTGACTCCAGTGAGCCATTAAGATGATGATAATTAGGGGCTGGGGATGTGGCTCAAGCAGTAACTTGCTCGCCTGGCATGCCTGGGGCGCTGGGTTTGATCCTCAGCACCACATAAAAATAAAAAAATAAAGATGTTGTGTCCACCAAAAACTGAAATAAATAAATATTAAAAAAAAGATGATAATTAAGTTAAGCTGTGTATAATTGCTGTGACTGGATGATGCTGGATTGAAACAGGTTGTGTATTCAGTTGTATATAGACCCCTGCTGTCTGGCAATAGGGCGGCTCTGGAGCCACTGCTCTGGAATAGGGTGGCTCCTGCTGCCTCAGGCGCCCGCTAGGAGTTCTCCTGGAGTGAGTTCCAGTTGAGCTTTCGCAGGGATTCCTGGAGAGTTCACATTAGTTGGTGAAGTTCCGGTGGAGGAAGTTCGGTTGGTGTGTGGTGTTCCTGGAAGGGCCACCATGGGTGGGTGGCGTTCCCGGGAGTTCGGGCAATAAAGGAGTTCCTGTTTGAACCTACAAGTGCCTCGTGGCGGCTCAGTTATTTTGTGCCCAGCCAGACTGCAGCACACATGCACAATAATTAAAAACAAAAAAGCCAGTTTTGCATTCCTATAATCCTAACTACTTGGAAGGTTGAGGCAGGAGGATTTCAAGTTCAACACCAACGTGGGCAACTTAGTGAGACCCTGTCTCAAAATAAAAAAAAAAAAGGTCTATGGTAGAGTGCTTGCCTAGAATACATGAATACCACAATACTGCAAAATGACAGCAACAACAAAAGCCAGAATCTCTGTATTAGTCCCTAAAGGAAACTTCACAAAGGAAGAATATGTAGACTATGTTCTCCACTATACTGCAAGAATTTAGAAGAAATAAATTCCTTGGTTACAAAGAAAATCATAAAGAAAATAAAGAATTATTTAGAACAGGGACTGGACTGTAGCTCAGTGGCAAAGCACTTGCCTAGCACATTTTGAGGCACTGAGTTAGATCCTCAGTACCACATTTAAAAAAATAAAATAACAAGGGAAGGCACACTGTTCATCTACAACTATCAAAAAAAAATTATTTAGAACAGAATGATAATGGAAGTTCCATATGCCAAAAACTTGTGGGATACATTCAGAGAAATATTTAAAGTTTTATATGTATTTCTTATGAAATAAAGGTTAAAAATGAAGGAATCAAGCTTTCAACTTGGAAAAATTCAAAGAATTAAGAAAGCATCACAACTGACACCACAGAAATATAAAAGATCATTAGAGATTATTATAAACAACTATATGTCAAAACATTTGATAACTTAGAAAAAAATGGATAAATTCCTGGACATATACCTTACTAAGACCAAATCATGAAGGAATAGAAAACTTGAACATGCCAATCAATAATAAGTAACAAAATTAAATCATGAATAAAAAGCCTCCCTGAGAGCAGATGGCTTCTCTGCTGAATTCTAACAAACATTTAAGGAGCTAATACTAATTTTCCTTAAGTCATTCCAAATAAACAGAAGAAGAAGGAATATTTTGAAACATATTATTATGGTATGGACATGAGATACACTCCCCACAAAACTAATGCAGGAATGTTCAAAGGTGAAATCATAGGACTGTAAAACCTGTAACCTACTCAGTCTATCCTACTGAAGTAACTGGGTGGTAACTATAGGCAGGTGGGGTATGTCAGGAAGAGGTGAGTCCCTGGGTGCATGCCTTGGAAAGGGCTCATCTTCCCTGTGGCTGCCTGTGACTATCTGTTTGTCTGTCTCTCTCCCTTCTCTAAGTTGTTCTTGTCAGGTATTTTGGTCACAGCAATACAAAAGCTGACTAAAACAGAAACCAGTACTAGGAGTGGGGTCATTGCTATGACTAACCTAACCATGTGATTCAGAATCCTTTGGAAATGATTTGCAGAAGGAATTTGCAAATGTTTGAAAAAACAGGCTGGAGAAGCCTTAAATTTTGTTATCACCCAGAATGCAAATAGTAATATGTACTGTGCTCATAAGGTTTCAAAGAGAATTGAATTACAAGAAGCCACTTGTGTTACATTCTGGCAAAGAACTTGTCTACATTTTACCCATGTTTTGAGACTTTGTGTGAGGCTGAATTTAAAAGTAATGGGCTAATTAATTTGGTAGAGAAAATTTCAAGGCAGCATAACATTCAGGAAGTGTTATGGATACTGCCAGCAGCTTTTAACCAGGTTTACTCTGAGAATTATGAAGAAAAAACAGAACTAAAAGATTTGAAAAACTTGCAGTTTGTCCAGAAAAATGCTCATAAAGCTGAGGCAAATGAAGATGTGATTGTTAAAGAGATCACAGATACTAAAGAGATTCGAAGTCCTAGGCAGAGACAATAGGAAAGGTGCCTTAAGTGCACCTCAGGAATCTATAAAACCACATTCACTGTAGGCTCAAGAAGGTAGAAGTGAAAATTCTTTTGAGATCATGGAGGTGCCCTGTCTCCATAGAAGGTGCCTAGAAAGTTATTTCATCCAGGCACTCAGAGGCCATTGGCATGATCCCAGAGAGCTCAACTACTGCACAAGCTGACAGCAGATCTGGTGCTGGTTCTGCAGGGACACTGGATGCTGGAGTTAGGGGGTCATGGAGGCTTACACTGAAATTTCAAAGGCAGTCCTGGGAGGCTAGGCAAAGTATAGTAGGGTTGGAATCCTACTATATTCCAACTAGGGCTGCCCTGATAGTATGAAGCGAAGCTGGAATGAAGACCTCAGAAATTAAGAGTGGCCAGTAAGTAACATGGACTGTCTGCTGACTAGAGAGAGAAGGCCAAGCTAAAAAAGAGGTCATGTGCACTACAGCAGGCAAAGCCAAAGGGGTGGGACTCCTAGGCCCTTTGGAAAGAACATATCACTATCATGTGTCCTACATGCTATATGTAGAGTCACAGGTAGAGTTATTAAACCTGTTTGCCCAGCTAGATTTTGGTCTTGCTTTGCTGCATTCCTTCTTTCTATGCTCCTATTTCTCCTTTTG